GAAGAGTCATGAGCTAAGAATTAGAGAAATGATTCTAGCAATTAAAAACTGAATGCTTTAACTGTTTCAGTTTGTGTATCAGGGAACTACTAAATGTCAAAAGGAAATTTTGTTTAATACTTTAGTCAAAGATTTCATAAGAAATATCTGATTTTTAAAAAACAATCTGCATTGAGATACTTATGCAGAAAGCCTTTGAATGGCATCCTTTAACCCATCCCTGCAATTATCCCTTTATCCCCATCCATTAACTATTCTTTTACAACAAATCTTAATTTTGTCTGTGTATGTGGGGTGGGGAGAGAATTAAATCTAAACTGGAATAAGTCTAAAATATTTTAAGACTCCATGTCAGCCTTTGGCGAAAAACATCAAGCTGAGAACAATATTTCATTCAAAATGTCTAATATCAGCTTTTACAGTGGTAAATATGAATTGTCCAACCTAGAATTGCTGTCAAGGGAAGCCTTGCTTGCATTATTAGCTCTCTAAATAAACCTGATATTTTATGAAGAGGAAGCCGAATACAGTGTAGTGTTAAGACTAATTTTAATGTGAATTGGATGTGAGAATTTTTTGAATGCTGTTTAGAAAATGTGCTGAGGCTACCATACAGAAAATAAGCATTCTGAATGACAATCCAAATCATATTACCCATGATCTTAAAATGTAGAGCTATTGCTATTGTCTTTTTATTAGACAGTGTCACAAGGTGACTTTTACCTGTTTCATGCGGTATTTCTTTTGAACAAGCTACTGGGCTTAGATCAACAGTTTTCTAGGCCTTAAAAGCTTTAAGTCAGTGTTTATAATATGCTAACCTTAGCTTGCACCTAGAAGAGCATGTGCAAACAAAATATATATTATGTGATAAAAGTTGTGCTCACTTTATGCTGAAATTGAATTTATGCTATTTGACAACTTTACGATATCAGTAGCAGCAGCAGCAATTAGATTAATAATTGTAAAGATTGTGTAATTTCACAATCACTCTTCAGTGAAATAATGTAATTTTTTCAGGGAAGTGAATTGTTATATTTATTGGGTTCCATTTGTTAAATCTTGCAGGAAAGAATGATCACACACTTTGAAAGATCCAAAATGGAATGAAAGATGAAACGACGTGCACAGAAACTATCTTACTGTTTGAGAAAGGAAGAAACTTTGTCTATCTTGCAATGTTCCAGTGCTGCTTTCTCTGATATGTTCCATGAACTTTGGAACCACTGATTATTGTCAGAGGGAATTTTTTTGTGAGGTCAGCATGGAGGGAATTTCGGTCATGAGAAATTTGCATTTGCACTGTTTGCTGCCAGTGTGCTATTTAAACTATGGAAATGTCTTTTATTGCAGCAAATTCTTTTAAAGTATTTAAGTTAAAGCATTTAACAATTGGCAGAGCAACTTTTAATTCAATACTAGATCTAAATCCCATGATTTAACTATAAGGGGGTGGGAGAAAATAAGAAGTTTCTTCGAGCCAGTAAGGATGAACCATGTGCAAAAGTTCCTTCAAACAAGCCAAAAGTGACCTCTGCTTGTAGATAATTTCCAGCATGGTGTATTCAGTAAGATGTTGCACTTAACTCCAGTATCCATTACTTGAGACTGTAAATGGGGGTGGGGGGGGTGTCAATTCCTATCTCCATCCACTTTTCTTGGAGGATTTGACACCATCAGAGTTGACAGAAACATCATCCCATCTGTAAAAGTGCTTTGCATACAAAAACATGTATGCAACACTCTGTCGTGTGTGAGAAATCTGTGAATCAGGATTAGTGCCTTTTCTCTTAGAAGCAGTAGCTATTGTCTGAAGATTCTGCTGTCCAGCTAGAAAAATAAGAGTTTTTGAAGGAAAGCTTTTGCTTATGGAAAACTCCAATAGAAGTATTTGGGAGAAATTATGATGCTTAATATTTTTTAGCAAAATTAAGTGCACTTTTTTCATTCCACAGCATAGAAAAATATTTTCAACTTAATGTATTTAAAAGCAATTATTTAATCCCAGATTTGTTGCTATCTCATTGCTGGCAATGAGGTCCGAGCATGAGCAGTTAACCATTTGAATTGGAACAGTAATTGAATGAAAACATCATTGAACATCATAGCACTTACCAACTATCCCTATTTCCATGTTAAAATTATTTATGCTAGGTTTATTGAACCCAAAAAGATTTGAGCCACTGATTCATAAAGTCAAACAGAACCTATCAACCATGAATTGTGGTACTGTAACTTGTCAAAAGCCTTTTTGATTTGAAATTACTCGTGAGTGGCAAACTCCAGTTGGGCTATGTTTGACTTTAAATTGTTACATTTATTTGATTCACCTATGCTAAATTTGCTCGGGTGAGATCTTTGTAAAAAGTAATCATAAATGGGAAATATTCTGTTTTGCAGTTCTTAAGAGGCATTCCTGATTGCTTCCAGTGCTCCTGCTGGTGTAGTGGGACTGAAATCCCACCCCAACACACCAGCTTTTTAACACACCTGAAGTACCAGTCTTCTGAGGCCAATGAGATATTTAAAATAGCTACTTACAGCACTTGTTCACTGCTTCTAGGTAAAACCGTAGCCAAGGCTTACAGAAGAAGAGATCTTTCTGAGCTGTTTCTTCAGATCTGGAGCTGGCTGTGATGCACAATAAAAATGCAGACTATAATGTGGCAGCTCAGTCCTCAAGTCACTTTAACCAAAGGCCAGAAGGATCTTGTTACAGTACAGTATCAGTAGCTTCGTTACCTTCCACAGTTCCTCTACATCCTACCTCCCTTCCAACTATTATCTACACCAAGAGACATTTTTAACACTTGTATAATTATATTTAGATACTGAAATACTTGAGAGGTTTTGTTTTTTTTAAAAGAGGCTATCAAGAAACCTGACCCTGTTACTGGGTCGATAAAACAAATCTTGCAACAGAAACAGATTCAGGTTAACCTAATGACAAATACTCTTCTGGAATAATTTATGCAAGTATGTATGCTGGACCTTTCTTTCCAGTTGCCTAGAGAAGTCCAAAAGAAGGTTTTTTTTTAACCTTTAAATTGTGTTTTTCTAAGTTTAGTGCCAAAACATGAGTCCTACAGATATTTGATATAGTCATTTCTTCTGGAAAAACTGGAATTGGGTTTTCACATGGAATTTACTACTGGCTTAATTCTGTTTCCCAGATGTGTTTTGGTTGTACTTACAATGTATATAAGTGGTTTGGTAAATAGGGTGTCCTCTGTCTTACAGGAACTATTTCATTTGATTCAGTCTGAATTAGCAGATTTATGTTCTGTACAATAAAATTATTTTTGCCTTTAAACACTGAAATGAGCTCAGTGTATCTTTCTGATATATTTTATTTGAAATGTCTTATTTTTGATGGCAAAATGTCAGGGACAGACCATGGGTTCAGATGTAGTGGCAGCTTCTGCATTCTAATATATGTCATTGTTTGGATGCATCAAAAGACTGAGGCCAAAAGAACTTACACTTTGCTCATCCTTAATGATTTTAGTTTTTTATTATTCCTAATGCTGCACTAACCATTTAGAGTTTGAAATATATGCTGAGACAAAGCCAAAGAAGCACTGTAGTTTTAGGACTATGTTATGTCAGGCAACTTCAGATTTGATGTATATTAGGAACTGTATGCTGAATACAAGAATAAGGACCTTAAGTTCATGAAGAATTTATTTACTTATTTAGAAAATTTATATTGTCACCTACTTGTACATGGCAACTCAAGGCGGCTTACAAGGACATAAAAACACAACATAAAAGAAACAAAAATAATAAAAAAGAAAAGTAATAAAATAAATTTAAATTATTATATTTAATAAAATGTGAGAGATGTAAAGTTAAAAGAAGTTAACCTGGGAGACTTGATAATGTGCAATTGTAATTACATAAATTTAAAGAAAATCCAAACACTGCCTTTTTTTTAAGAGATCAGCCTATTAATTTTTTTTTTACTTTTTATTTTTATATTCGGAACAAAAAGGCTAGCAATCTAGGTTTTATTAGGCAAGATGGGCAGCATATAAGTCAAATAAAAAAGAAAGAAGAAATGAAGAAGCAAACAAGCGAATAACTTTTAAATGTTCCATACCTGCAGCATGCACCTTGGATCCTGAGGATAGTAATGCTAAACAAAAGAATTAAGGTGTTTTGCCAGGTGAATTTAGCCAGGGAAGTTGAATACAGTATTTAGGATTACTGCCTTGGAAAAAATTGTTCTGTAGGCTCTGGAGACATTACAGCATGAAGAACGTATATTTTTTTTATGATCCACCCAGTGGTGAAATCCAAATTTTTTTACTACCGGTTCTGTGGGCGTGGTGTGACTTGGTGGGCGTGGCAGGGGAAGGATACTGCAAAATCTCCATTCCCACCCCACTCCTGGCAGAAGGATATTGCAAAATCTCCATTCCCACCCCACCCTGGGGCCAGCCAGAGGTGGCATTTGCCGTTTCTCCGAACTGCTCAAAATTTCCGCTACCGGTTCTCCAGAACCTGCTGGATTTGATCCACCCACATTTGCGGAGGAGTTTACCATGGATTCCTTGTAATATAGTTGCAGGAATGAATTGTACGCTACATCTACAACACATACACAAACGACAATAATGCAGGATAAAAAAAAAAAAGGCAACGGCTTAAATATTGAAAAGGTTTCTCGGAGAAGAAGCCCTTTCAGGTCAGGCAGGAGTTACACACCATCCATGCGCTTTTGCGCTTTGGAGTTGCCAGTCGCCCTTTGCTGCAGGTTCCTTCAGTCCCTCGACCTCCCCACCCACGCACCCCAATTCTCCTCAACGCCTGCTTTGCCCCCCAAGAAAAATACTCAAAAGAATTTGCTCCACCGCAAAATACTCAAAGGTGGTAGGTGCTTAACGTAACCTCTACGATTGGAACCGGAGCGGCAGGCTTCGGTTCGCCGAAGAGAGCCGGGAAACCGGCCTGCGCGGCTTGCTCAGAGGCGGAGCCTGGCTACGGAAGTGAAGAGCAACCCCGGAAACGTTGCAGCGGCCCAGGCTCGGCTTTTGTGGCTGGGGGTTGCTGGCAGCGACGTCTCCCGGGCCGTCCTTAGTGGCCCTGGGGCAACAGCCCGTCGTTTCTGAGGAGTAGCGGCCGACGCCAGGCTGTCGCCGTCATGCACGACGCCTTCGAGCCGGTGACGATCCTGGAAAAACTGCCGCTGCAGATCGACTGCTTGGCGGCTTGGGGTGAGTGCCTCCGGATTCGACCCCCCAGCTCACCCCCGCTTGTCCCCTCTCACATTTCAGTGACGTTGTGTGCCGAGAGTCACAACCACAACGTCTTGGTGTACAAGAGTCCGTTTTCTACTGCTCCCTTCCGACCACCGCGTCTTGTTGTGTTGAGCGAACTCATCAAACATTAGGTCCCAGTAAGGGCGAAATCTTGCCAGTTTCCTCGCGCGTTGATAGATGGTCCTGGGAAAACTTGAGCGCTTTGCGTGTTGTGATATTTAAACGTGACCCTCACGTGAGTCATGAGAAGGAAAAGCATTGCCTGCCTGCCCCCAAGGCAGGGCCGGTGTGGGTCTAGAAAGGGAAAACTAGATTCAAATGCAAACATCCCATGGACTGGGATGATTCTCGGTTTCTGCTCCACAGGATTGCTGTGGTGGGGGTTCAATAGAGGAGTGTGTCCATGTTGTCTTATTAATAAAGGAACATGAATGCCCAATTCCTGTGTGTCTTCTGGTTGAACTGCATTTACTTTTTTTTAAAAAATGTAAATAATTTTATTTCTTTAAAAAAGTGCAAACAGAAGATTTATCGACAAACAGATCACGGTGAGAACATTACACAATACATAACATTCAATCTAAATAAACAGATAAAAAATAAAAGTCTAATCTAGCATTGTCCTCTTTTTATTCTATTATCTAACCAAACATACCATAGGTCCCGGCATTGGAAATATGCAGTCTTTTTGATCTCTTAAAATTTTAGTTAGCCTATAGGCTTCTGCACATTCCATGCATTTAGTAAACTGCATTTACTTTTAATAAAGTCTGATGAGGGCTGCGACTTGTAGCTTGTATTTGCTTCCTCTCTGGGAATAGCGAAATTCGCAGAAATTACAAATTTCAAATATTTATACTGTAGTGTATAACACTCTCGGATGTTTTCCAATACTTAAAAAAAAAAACCAAAAATGTTTGAGTATAAAAAACCCCACAGTAAAGTTCATGTATAGAGCCATGAAAAGGTATGTCATATTTAGTTCTAGAATAAGTTTCTGCACATACTTTCCTGGGAATAAAGGCAATTAGACCTGGTGATATGGGTAGGATTGCCCTGTAAATTTGACCTTAGAAAATATATGTTAATTGAAAATTATTTTTATTGAAATATTTTTAAAACTATGAATTCCTCAGGAAAAAATAGAATATTGCTGGTGCAAATTAAATGTTTTCTCATTTGTAGAAGAATGGCTCCTAGTTGGGACTAAACAAGGACATCTTCTACTTTACAGAATTAGAAAAGAAACTGGTAAGTTTGTAATGATTTACCATCCCTCTGCATATTAACAAATACCCTGTTTCCCCGAAAACAAGACATCCCTGATAATAAGCCCTCCCTGAAAATAATTAAACGTGGAGCCGGAAATCAGCAAGAGAAGCCCCATCTTGCTCCATGTGCCCCAAAATAATAAGTCCTCCCTGAAAATAAGGCCAAGCGCTTATTTCGGGGATCAAATAAATACAAGACAGTGTCTTATTTTCGGGGAAATACGGTAGTAACAACTGAGGATAATTGAGAGCCATCTGTTACTTCATTGTATTTTAGGGCAGATTCATACAAGATAGGCCCTGTACATAGCTAAAACAGAATATCTGTCAAGAATCAGAAACTTGTTTTAGCCTTATGTTGACAGGGTTTATTTGTTGTGCTAATTTATATGTTTTTTTGTTTTAGGTTTAGTGTGGTTTGTGCTGTTTTACTTGTGTGAACCCTTCCAGTTAAAGCTTATTTGAGAAATAAACTTAATATTATTAATAATCCAATCACTGTGTATAAAACCTATATGATAAAGAGTTTATTGGCTGACCTGAAATACCTTATTTCCTTGTATCATGTTTAATTCTGTGCAAAATTTCATTATATTTTAGAATTAGGCATAACATGTTTAAAAAAGTCAGTCAGATTCATACTTGATTTTTTGCCTTGAAACTAGTCTGTAAAATATGAATTAGATAGAAACATATATGAATTACAACTGTAAAAAAAGGATTCCCTTAAATCAACAATTTGTGAGACTTACACCTCCTCTAATCTCAGTTCAGAAGTTTGTATGACATTATTCCTTAACTAATAAATGCAAGTTGATTAAATAGTTTAAAATATATCTTATCTAAATCCATATATTGTTTGATAGGCTGCAACAGGTTTGAAGTCATATTAGAAAAATCAAACAAGAACTTCTCCAAGAAGATACAGCAGGTAGGTCTGGCATTTTCAGATTCAGCTAAGATCAGTGGTGGGTTGCTACCGGTTCGCACCAGTGGTGGTGGCGGGAGGCTCCACCCACCTGCCCAGACGCTTCTGCACATGCACCAGTTATGAACCAGTTGCTAAGCAAACTTAGGTAAAGATAAAGGTTCCCCTCGCACTGTTCTGTCCCTGTACCACCCACACACCCAACCAGCCAGCCGAGGGTTAAATAAACTCTTCAAACACTCAACGTCAGTGATAAGGAACTTGGCAGCAACTCCGTGTCTGCCTGCCAAGAACTTTGATTCCGATAACACAGACAAAAATACACACAGTTTGTAATTAAATCCACAGCAAATAGGTGTTGTGTCCGAAAGTGCAAAGTGCCTCGCCAGAGATTAGCTTTGTCCGTCACAGAGTCCGAATGGCCACCACACTCCCTTTTATTGCCTGTGGGGTGTGGTCCAGTGACTCAGCTTAATCTCTGGCACGCCTCCTTTTCTGCTGCGCCTGCTTGTCTCTCCGACGCTGGCGTGGGTCCAACCACAATGTTTCTTCGTCACTATCCGACGGCTCGGAAACACCTGGCTCCTGGCCAATCTCTTCTCCTTCGGGAGACACCTGAGGCATTGCCAGAGAGGAGGGTCCTGGAGAGGGAGGCCTGGCCATCTCCTCTCCTTCATGTTCGGAGCCTTCTTCCTCCGATAAGATAGGCTCGGAGGACGGAGCCACAACACTCACAAAGGTTCCCCTTGCACATATGTGCTAGTTGTTCCCGACTCTAGGGGGCAGTGCTCATCTCCGTTTCAAAGCCAAAGAGCCAGCGCTGTCCGAAGATGTCTCCGTGGTCATGGCTGGCATGACTAAACACCAAAGGTGCACGGAACACTGTTACTTTCCCACCAAAGGTGGTCCCTATTTTTCTACTTGCATTTTTTACGTGCTTTCGAACTGCTAGGTTGGCAGAAGTAATGGGAGCTCACCCCATTATGCGGCACTAGGGATTTGAACTGCTGAACTGCCAACCTTTTGATCGACAAGCTCAGTGTCTTAGCCACTGAGCCACCACGTCCCTCTTAAGAAATTTACCCAAAGCTTATTTACATGATTTTTTTATTTTATTTTTAATAGATCCATGTTGTATCCCAGTTCAAAATTTTGGTCAGTTTATTAGGTAAGTGAAATAATTGTTCAGATTAATTTTTTTTGAAACAAGGCACGGCAGTCATTATAAGACTAGGGAACTTCTAGTCTTAATTAATTAAGTCTAGTCTTAATTAGTCTTCTTAATTAAAGAATTAAATATTGAATTTATTTCTGAGTTGGGAATGCGTGAATTTGTTCTGTTAATCTGAATTTCAGTGTTTTGCTTTTACTTCTGATCCTTAATTTTTTTAAAGGCCACATTAATTTTTAAAAGCCCTTTACATTTTGTTATCTTCTTTAAGCATTATTTAACTTAATAGTTTTTTACATTGTCCATCATTCTTAGTATGGAGATTCTTTGAGACTCAGAATCATTGTAGCATCAAAAACTGGGAGATATTTGTAAAGTTCCCATTTTATTTCAAAATAAAATAATGTTTGCAGCATTATTCATTATGAGAAAATTGTAGAGATTTGAATAGCAGCATGTGTACACCTTAATTTAAGCAGTAATTTGTGTTTTTGTCCCAAACAGAAAACAACATTTATGTTCATGATCTATTGACCTTTCAACAGATCACAACAGTTTCTAAGGCCAAAGGTGCAACTCTTTTCACTTGTGATCTGAAGGTATGTAATGAAAAGAGGCTTGCCTTCATGAACATTTGGCATGTTAGATTAAAATGCAAAAAATTCATTACTTAATTAATGTCCGGGAAGCAGGTGGGTGGGCGAGATGCTGATCATTCACGACTTCTGAAAATCACATTTTAGAGATGATAGTTAAAATACAGATAGTCTTCACTTATTGACTGCAATTGGAACCAGCAGTTCTGTTGGGTCTACTGAGAAATGGATTTTATTTCAGCCTGTTTCTAGGGAGGGAAAAAGATAATCAAGGAAAAAGAATGACAACAAGGCCTGCTCAGGGTTCATTTTTATTCTACCTTTGTTAGAAACAAGACAAAAACACAAGCTTGCATATACAGTGGACTTACATAATACACTAATGAGGCTTGTTTGTGGTTCAAATTGTGGGAATGCAACCATAGTAATTTGCACGCCACAGTTGATTGCTCAGCATATTGCAGGACAGCAATTGTGGTTTGCTGTACAATAAGCCATATTTAAGAGAACAATGACGTAACATTGTGTGTGAGCAGAGCTTAATATTGTGTTTTCCAGCTTTGATTCTTAGAGAAATATTTATTTTTACAGCATTCTGATACTGGAGAAGAGGTCCTTAGAATGTGTGTGGCAGTGAGAAAGAAGTTACAACTTTTTTATTGGAAGGACCGAAAATTCCATGAGCTGCAGGTGCAGTATTATTTATTATTTTTATTTATCAAATTTAGGTACTGTTCGTCTCACTCTAATCATCATTCTATAATTCATGTTAAAATATAATTTTTGGTTTGAAAGTGTCACTGATTTGAAAGTGGTGTTGATTTTCTATTCAGAAAACATTTTCAAAAATAATTTGCGGGATTTAGTTTTTAAGCCCAATTTAACAGTTACCTAGTTTTTCTTTCAGAGCTTACTTGAAGTATAACATTAATTAACAAAGAACTAAAAAAAAGGCAGAATTCTACAAAACTCTGAAAGAGTCTGTTTTTTTAAAAAGAAATATCAGCCGTACTTAAAACAGCTTAAAAAAATTAAGACCTCATGACTGTCTTTAATTTGTACCCTTTAAACTAGAATGTAATGGAGCAAAAATTAAAGGTACATTGCTGGTGGTTGTCATCGTGGTTTCTGCAAACCATGGTCTACGGCCATATTAAACATACATTATTTGGAAGACATTTAAAAACATGGGAAGGAAAGAGAAATAGGATTTGGGTGTCAAGGGCTGGGAAATGAGCCTTTAAATATCTCTCCTTACTAAAATCCCCCAAATAATGGAAAGGGTTTTTTTTCTGGGCAAGGCATTATGTTTAATATCTAGGCAATACTATTGAGAATATATTCTAAAATCCCATTTGAGAAATGTATTTGCTTGGCTGCAACTGGGGATGTTGAAAAAAACCCCAACATGTGTTATTTTATTTTACCAACTGTAAGAAGGTTCATACCATCTATAATATGCCTCTTTTACATCAGTCCTTGGGTAATCTGACAATACTTATACATCCATCCTTATTTGTAAATGATTTATAGACCATAACAAAATACTGTGAAGCAGCCATGAAAATCAAGCATCAGTTACTGACAGGTTTCCCATAGTTCTAACATGCTTTTTTTATTCATATGTCATTTGCCTGTATTACTTGACATGTTTCTTGCTTTTAATAGTTTTCAGAGGTACCATTCATCCCTGGCCTTTAACTGTAAAAAAGATTCATTCATTCAGATGTCTTAATTTTATATTTTTATCCTATGTTTGTTTATTTTCTGGGAGCTCTTTTTCCTAGAATTAAATATTTTTCCTAGAATTATTTATATACAAACATACATACATGTGTGTGTATCAGCTTCTTTAATTGTACCTAATTAGACATTTTTTCTCCTTGATTTCCAGGGAGATTTCAGTGTGCCAGATGTACCTAAATCGATGGCATGGTGTAAAGATTCAATATGTGTTGGTTTCAAAAGGGATTATTATCTAATAAAGGTATTAAAAATTAGACTAAGATGGAAAATACTGATTTTTCGGAATACTGTATGCAGGGGAAATGAATGATTGGAGCATGAATTATGAATTCTCATGTCCTATACTGAATAAACTTTCTATATGTAGTGAGCCTTCTGAGAAAATAGGCACCTTATTGGCACTGATGTCATATTTGTTATGACATCAGTGGTAAAAATTGACTACTGTTTGGGAAATCCCTAAACAATTTGGCTATGGTTTGATCTATGGGGTTGATGAAATAAGCTTAGTGACAGGAATACTGGAGAATGGAACAGCTCTTTCTAATAATAATGAGTAATTTTGGTAATGCCTTTTTGAATTGAATGACCAACTTTTTTATTCATTTACAGGTAGATGGGAAGGGGTCGATTAAGGAACTATTCCCTACAGGAAAGCAGCTTGAGCCATTAGTAGTCCCATTGGCAGATGGCAAAGTTGTTGTAGGCCAAGATGATCTAACTGTTGTGTTGAATGAAGAAGGAGTCTGTACGCAGAAATGTGCCTTCAATTGGACAGATATCCCAATAACCATGGGTAAGAACAAGTAAAATTAAAAATTCTTAGCTCTAAAGAAAAAATGTGTTACACACAGAAAATACAATACACCTTGATTTTTAAATTAATAATGACATTTGACTACATGAGATGATAGTTATCTTTCTGTTATGTTGATATAATGCCAGTTTATAGATAGAAAGTGTGTATCTGTAATCCAGGTTTGTGAGTCCAAAGCAGCTCTGTTTTCCCTACTACTTGAATAATAATTTTCTTTGCTCAGATTTTAATTTATTACTATATAAAAAAGAACAATTTGTATATTATATAGTAATAAATTTTTGGCATGAATTCCCATTCTTTAAACAACAGTGATCATATTACAATTTTGTGAATATCAACCGAAATATTAAAGATACCCATGGATAAGGGTTCCATCTGCTTTGATATCAGCTTTTTTTGTACATTTGAGGAATCTGGTAAATATAGAAAATAAGTACTTGTTGAATTAATTTTTTTCTTAAATTCATTGGAATTATATTTAATATTTTAAACACACTTTATAATTCATTAATGTATGATATACTAGCATTTTATTCCAAAATTATTTAAGATAAAAAAGTAACAATTGTTTAAAGAAATTTGATTTAGGTTTAGATGTAACGAAAACGCATTCTGGTAATGGTAATTCGGGAGATTTATTTGAAGCCAGTGCACCCAGGCGAAACAAGTGTTTAATTGATTATACTGCCATCTCATATTTTATACAGCTTAAATGCATTCTGGAAATAAATCAGTCCGCTTAAATGCTGTTTTTGTGATAAGCTGATTTGAAGTATTAATGACGTTAATGACTCATGGTTTCCAGAAAAGAAAGGTTTACCAGCTGTTTTAAAATCTTTTTTTTCCCCAGGGTAAATGTTAGTTTTGTGAATAATAAAGGTTGAATTTTTATCTGTGTCTCAGCATCTTCTAAAGTTTCCTTGTGGACTTTAATACTGCATAAAACTGTTTAAAAGTAGAGACAACCTACTTCAGGAAGGTTGCATAATACATTTTTTGTTAGGATCATAATGGACTGCTGAGTATGAGTTCTATGGAACTACTTAATGGTTGACAAATAATATTCTATTTACAATAGGTCTTATGCAAAGAATGCTAAACTAATACCACATATTAATCCAGTTAATAAAAAAATTGAGAAAAGACCATGCTTTGGCAAAACTTCTTTCAAGCTTTTCTAATGTGTCTCATCCTATTTCACAGGGTTGTTGTAGGAAAAAAGTAGGAAGAATGAGGGAAATGGCTAAGTTAAGTTCTTGGAGGAAAGGCAGTGTATAACTCTTATTACATAAATATTGTAGTCTGTATATCAGAAACCCAGTGACATTAGCAGTCTCTTTTGAGTCCAATAAATACAATAGTTTTAGATGAAGTTATGCTGTTCTCATAAAGTACAGTAGTGTTAGAAAGAGAAATAATTAAAAAGCCAAGGGGGATAAAGAAAGTAATAAAACATTTGGTACTCTTGAATGGAAAGTTGTTTAGGTCTGTATACTGACTGTTTTGTTTCCATAATAGAACATCAGACTCCATACGTGGTCGCAGTATTGCCAAGATATGTAGAGATTCGTACGTTTGAGCCCCGTCTCCTGGTTCAGAGTATTGAATTAGATAAGCCACGCTTCATTACTTCTGGAGGGTAGGAAAGCTTTAGTTGCCTATTTTTCTCCTATTTTGCATATAAAATACTGTTGAATTATTAATTTTAAAGAGTTGTTGAGTAAAAGGGAGTGACCCTTTAATCTTATTAAGGTACATTGCTGACTGTATCTTTTTCCTTATTTTAGTCCTAATATTGTATATGTGGCCAGCAATCATTTTGTTTGGCGCCTCATTCCAGTTTCCATTGCAACCCAGATTCAGCAGCTCCTCCAAGATAAACAGTTTGAATTGGCTTTGCAATTGGCGGTAAGTGAAAGATTAAATATATTTTCAGTCTATAGTTGGGATCCTGTGTCATACTAAACCATAGTGAAGTATCAGTTGTATTTGGTTTAGTATGATGTGTGAACCTAGTCAATTGTGTTTTAAATAACTAACTGGGACTCACAAAGCCATATGTTAGTATGTTGACAGAACTTGAGTGAATCTTTGACAAATAATTACATTTATAAGTTGCTATCTAGTAAAAGTGCTATTTCAAGACAATTATTTGTTAATTAGGTACAGTGGGGCAAAAAAGTATTTTGTCAGCCACCAATTGTGCAAGTTCTCCCACTTAAAAAGATGAGAGAGGCCTGTAATTGTCATCATAGGTAGACCTCAACTATGAGAGACAAAATGAGAAAACAAATCCAGACAATCACATTGTCTGATTTGGAAAGAATTTATTTGCAAATTATGGTGGAAAATAAGTATTTGGTCACCTACAAACAAGCAAGATTTCTGGCTCTCACAGACCTGTAACTTCATCTTTAAGAGGCTCCTCTGTCCTCCACTCATTACCTGTATTAATGGCACCTGTTTGAACTTGTTATCAGTATAAAAGACACCTGTCCACAACCTCAAACAGTCACACTCCAAACTCCACTATGGTGAAGACCAAAGAGCTGTCGAAGGACACCAGAAACAAAATTGTAGATCTGCACCAGGCTGGGAAGACTGAATCTGCAGTAGGCAAACAGTTTGGTGTGAAGAAATCAACTGTGGGAATAATAATTAGAAAATGGAAGACATACAAGACCACTGGTAATCTCCCTCGATCTGGGGCTCCACGCAAGATCTCACCCCGTGGGGTCAAAATGATCACAAGAATGGTGAGTAAAAATCCCAGAACCACACGGGAGGACCTAGTGAATGACCTGTAGAGAGCTGGTAACAAAGGCTACCATCAGTAACACACTACGCCGCCAGGGATTCAGATCCTGCAGTGCCAGATGTGTCCCCCTGCTTAAGCCAGTACATGTCCGGGCCAGTCTGAAGTTTGCTAGAGAGCATTTGGATGATCCAGAAGAGGATTGGGAGAATGACATATGGTCAGATGAAACCAAAGTAGAACTGTTTGGTAGAAACACAACTCGTCATGTATGGAGGAGAGAGAATACTGTGTTGCATCCAAAGAACATCATACCTACTGTGAAGCATGGGGGTGGCAACATCATGCTTTGGGGCTGTTTCTCTGCAAAGGGACCAGGACGACTGATCCGTGTACAGGAAAGAATGAATGGGGCCATGTATCGTGAGATTTTGAGTGCAAATCTCCTTCCATCAGCAAGGGCATTGAAGATGAAACACGGCTGGGTCTTTCAGCATGACAATGATCCCAAACACACTGCCTGGGCAACGAAGGAGTGGCTTCGTAAGAAGCATTTCAAGTTCCTGGAGTGGCCTAGCCAGTCTCCAGATCTCAACCCCATAGAAAACCTTTGGAGGGAGTTGAAAGTCCGTGTTGCCCAGCGACAGCCCCAAAACATCACTGCTCTAGAAGAGATCTGCATGGAGGAATGGGCCAACATACCAGCAACAGTGTGTGCCAACCTTGTGAAGACTTACAGAAAACATTTGACCTCTGTCATTGCCAACAAAGGATATATAACGAAGTATTGAGATGAACTTTTGATATTGACCAAATACTTATTTTCCACCATAATTTGCAAATAAATTCTTTCCAAATCAGACAATGTGATTGTCTGGATTTGTTTTCTCATTTTGTCTCTCATAGTTGAGGTCTACCTATGATGTCAACTACAGGCCTCTCTCATCTTTTTAAGTGGGAGAACTTGCACAATTGGTGGCTGACTAGATACTTTTTTGCCCCACTGTATATAATAATGAGTAACTGCAGAATTTATTTATTATCCTCTAAACCTGTAAAATTTGGTTTAGTTTGATTCAGGTTGATTATAATAAGCTTTGGTTGAAACGTAGTGGAGATGAACAAATCAGGTTTATTTCATTAAATAAGAAAGTGTGGTTATATTTTGGGAACAATTCACAGTATGAAGCTATCCTGGCTTGCTTTAAAGTCTATAACCATAGTCTTTAAATTTGGAACAAACTTAAAATAAAAAAAACCTAGTTCTGTGAAAAATTTAATTAGTTTGACTTCTTATGCAAAATAAACAACTTGTGTGGGATAAAAAGGTTTATTAATCTGATTGTACTTACCTATGGAGAGGGCTACAAAAACACTTAAATGATAGTTAATACTGGTATTTCTTGTTTGCGAGAATCAATCACGCGAGCACTGCCGTATGCCAAAGGTGCACAACCTTTTTGAAATAACAGTATCACTTGCCTTACATTTATTTAAACCATGTTAATATTGTTGCTCCTCATTTCATATTTTTCTCCTCCTGTCACATTAGTTTACAACTTAGCAGTAATGTTGGGAGGGGTTTGGAGGACTGCGTTCAAGGCTTTGGAGTGTAGTTATATGCATCTCAGGAATTGGAGATTGTATACTGAGAACAGTAACTGTGAGTTATGTCACTGTTTGATCCATTCATTGCAGTTATTTTTTGAATACACTGGTTTTTTGTACTTCTTATTTAAGCCTACTGTGTGCAGGATGGATTTGATATAAATCGAGTTGATTTAAATCACAATTTAAATCATGATTTAAATCACTAGTAAAAAGGCTTGATTTAAATCAACTCGATTTAAATCATAATTTTTAAAGAGCAACTGTCATCTCTGCTACTCCTTTGACCCACTGTTGACTCACCGATAGTCCCAGTGTTGCAGAATATACAGCCTCATGCTACATAACTAAACTCCATTTCATGCTGAATAAACTAAATTATTTATGTATCTTAAATAGAAAACTATCTTAAGATAGATTTTTACCACAAGTTTTTTATTAAAATAAATTCGATAAAAATAAAAAAAATCTGAATTAAATAAAAAAAAATCTGATTTAAATCAAAAAAATCTGATTTTTTTGATTTTTTTTAAAAAAATCATTGATTTTTATCCACCCTGACTGTGTGTTACTCAGATATTTATTATAGTCTCAGTGTTCATGGACTACAAATGTGACAACAAAGTTTACCATACTCAGGAAACTTATTTGTGTTCTTATTCTGGATAGCATAACTGAGATAGAAATATATCTCCTGGCTTGCATGAACAATTTTTTCTACAAGTATATTCAAATATACTTTTTCATTACCAAGGATCAATTTCCTTAAGAGCCAGTGTGCTATTTCCCAAAGGTTTGCATTTTTAATTCTTTATTTTTTATTTTTCTTTTCTACTTCAAGAGTTTATGGTGAATAAAGTATTTTTTTCTGCTTCTGTTTAAACTTGTTAGGATATGAAAGATGATTCTGACAATGAAAAACAGCAACAGATCCATCACATTAAGAATCTTTATGCCTTCAACCTTTTCTGCCAAAAGCGCTTTGATGAATCAATGCAAGTCTTTGCTAAACTTGGGACAGGTAGATTTTCATTTCCAGCCTTACTTTAAATTATGCAAGGAGAATTAAATACTACTAAAAGTTGTAAAAAGCTATAAATAAGCATTAGTGTTTGGATTTTTGTAAGAACATCCTGTGGAATGTTTCTTTTTGTTATTGCAGAGAAGACAAGAGAGGTACATTTCCTCTTGTAACTTCAGTCCCCTATGAATCTTCCCGGGAAGATTCTTGAAAATGCATAGCTGAACTGTAGAGCAAAATATCAAAATACTCTTCTGCCAATAGTCAACTAATAACGTTACATTTATCTTGCAATGTTGTGAGAGTGCCGCAAAAACATAGAAGCATTTTTAATATGGAAATAAGTGTTTCATGTGAAACCTAGCCATGGATGCCATTGGGTAAAAAGTAAGTTTATCAGCAGCAGTAACTTGATATCTTTTTTTTTTTAAAAAAACGTATTTGTTTGCTGCCCATCTCACTGCAAGGTGACCCTATATTGAAAGAACACTCTTTATTATTTTATATTTGGAATTTTAGTAGTACTGAACTACAACAAATTCTTTTAAATGTTATGCATAGAATAAATAGTTTTAGGAAAGAAACAAAATAATAGAACTAAAATGGGCTATTTAGATAATCAAGTCTCTCATTTCATGTAGGAAGCTAAAGAATCAGTGACAAATGGATATACAACTACTTTGTATACTTCGTATACTTTATCTACTTTGGATAATTGGTTCCACTGTGAAGCTATTATTATTGTTAAAATGTTTAAACATTCAATTGGCATCTGTTTTTTTGTCACTTAAATCTATTGTTCCATGTCCTGTCCTCCAGAATGATAGATGGTTGGCTTTCTTCTGTTTGACAGTCCTTTCAGGCAGGGGTGAAATTCAAACTTTTTCCCTACCGGTTCTATGGGCATGGCTTGGTGGGCATGGCAGGGGAAGGATACTGCAAAATCTCCATTCCCTCCTCACTCCTGGGGGAAGGATATTGCAAAATCTCCATTCCCACCCCACTCTGGGGCCAGCCAGAGGTGGTATTTGCAGGTTCTCCAAACTACTCAAAATTTCCGCTACCGATTCTCCAGAACCTGTCAGAACCTGCTGGATTTCACCCCTGCTTTCAGGCTTGGAAAAATATGATCATGTCCTCCTCAGCCTTCTCAAGACTGAATATTCCCAGTTCCTTGTCTCAAAGGACTTAATTTTGACCTGATCCTCATTAATCTTTTCTGGACTGGTTCAGTTTGTTTGAGTTTCCTTCACTATTCATATAAAACTGGATGTATTGTTTGACAAGGCTTTGACTAATGAATACAAAATCTAGTAAAGATATTGCTTCCCCTGCTTTGGAAACTACTTCTGTTGATGAAGCCTAAAACTGTAGCCACATTGTGCTGCTGACTCATTCAATTTGCAATCCACTACTATTGTGAAGTCTTTTTAAGTACTACCAAGCCAGGAATCCCCCATTTTATCCCTGCGTATTTGATTTATGTTTCCTAGGTGAAAAAACTCTTTGTTTCTGTTAAATGTCACTGTTATTTACAACCCATTTGTCTAATCTATACGATTATTTTGAATAGCGTATTGTTAATCGTTATCCTATGTTTAGATTGCCTACAATTTTGAAGTGCATTCTTTCAACCCCCTCGTTCAAGTTATTAATTAAAATGTTGAAGAATACAAAGCTCATGATTAAGCATAGTGAAATTCACTTGATATTTCTTTCCAGTTTAATTGACACTATTTATGATTTTCAAGCCAGCCATATATCTATTCATGTTGTTGAATCCGTAATATTTTACTACTGATATAGAGCTTAGTCAAATTAGTTTCTTTGTGATAAAAGAAAGTTTAGAGAGATAAGTATTGTGAATTTAAATTTGTTATAATTTGCATTTTTGTTGAAAATATTTTGACCTACCACATTTGTGGGGTTTTCTTTCAGATCCCACACATGTGATAGGTCTCTATCCTGAACTGTTGCCCGGTGATTACAAAAAACAGCTCCAGTATCCAAATGCAGTGCCAAGTCTCTCTGCAGCAGAGCTAGAAAAAGCACACCTAGCACTTATAGATTACCTAACTCACGTAAGCATTTAACTTTTTATTGTGTTTTCCCAATGGCTGCTTATGTTAGACACCAGCTCCGGATTTGTTTAAAAAGTGTAGAATGTCGTGTTCTTGATTTATTTAACATTTAAAATGGATTTGAGGGAGGGTAAGTTATGATCTGCTGGTTATATTAGAGCTTTGATATGAGAAGTCATCATGCTAAGAAAACGAAATTGCAGTTTCTCTGAATGAGCAACTTTCACTGCCTTGCTCTGTATTGGGGTGTCAAACTCAAGGCCCGGGGGCCAGATCTGGCCCGCGGGGCGACCCTGGAAACAGTGGAGAACTGGGCCACGGTGCCTCTGACAGCAAAAATGGAGCTCGGGAGGGCTGCACATGGCCCTCCTGAGTTCTGTTTCTGCTGGCAGAGGGCTGCAGGAAGATCCCCCCAGCCCTGCCTGGGCCACCACAGGTGCCCCTGACATGAGTGACATTGAGCTGGCCATGCCCACCTGGCCTCCTGAGGTTAAACACAATCCTGATGCGGCCCTCAATGAAATCGAGTTTGACACCCCTGCTCTGTATAGTGCAGAAGGTGAGTCCATGTCTCTGGAAGCTTGCAGTCAAGATTTTGGCCATTGGTAGAGAGAAGAGATGGAGTGGAGAGTCAAATGTAACAAAACAGTGGAAAAAGAAGATACAGAGAGATCTGTTTAATAAGAATTAAAGAGTACAGAAAAATTAGAAGAATGAGGCTTCATTGGTTTTTATTTTGAGTAATGTGGGCAGGGTGTAATCTTAACTTTATTTCCTCTTCACAGAAACGAAGTCAGTTAGTGAAGAAGCTGTATGATTCTGACCATCAGTCCACTACATCTCCCCTCATGGAGGGAACTCCTACCATCAAATCCAAAAAGAAATTGATACAGATAATTGATACTACACTGTTGAAATGCTTCCTCCATGTGAGTACCCTTCATCTTTTGAATTGGAAATTCAGAGTAGAAGTGAAATGTAAGTTTATAGTGAAATACTAATTGGGTATTAGAAAGATCTAAGGATACATATATATGGAGGAAGGAGACTGCTTTAGAAATTTCTTTCTTTTTTAGTTAATTTCAAACAAATCCTTTGTCTTCAGGGGAAGTTCTAAAACATGGTCAAACATTGCTTGCATTAAAGTGCTGATGAGATTTCATGTCTAATATTGAATTAAAAAAATTCTTGTCTCAGTTCCTGATGGATTTGCAACTAAAAATCTTTTTAAAGTACAATCTGGAGGAGAGTGAAGAATCATATGAAATCTAATGGACAGTTCTTTTAAAATTATAAAAATCAGAAAATACTTTTAATTGTGGCTAAAATATTGTTCAGGTCATTAATACATATATCATTAGCTTCACTTTTTAAAATAGTAATTTTATTAAAAATTAAAACTACAATGATAAAAATTAATACAAACTAACAAAATAAAAAAGATGCAAATAAAAGTTATTTAAAAAATACAAAAGAAAAAATAAAAATATAGTAAAGAATATATATATATATATATTTGTTTAAGTTTTCATGGGTATGTATGTGTGTATAGTTAATATACTGGGACTCCCAACCAATCAGAATGAAAAGGTGGAGCCATCCCAGAATACCAGCACCAGATTTGAAATACCAATGTCAGTTAGTGCAAAATGAGTGCTGACATAAACCTGATGATGGCAGATGGGATTCTGCCGAAACGTCGCTTCTACCCTTTTAGGGATATATCCACAATTACACGGGAAGAAACCTGAAATATTAACTACACACACACACACACACACACACACACACACACACACACACATATATATGACTTCCCTTTATCATAATTATAAACCATTTTAGTAATTTATCACCACCTCTTAAAATACAATGAATCTCTTTTCTTATATCCCATCTCTTGTTTATAAACAAATTCTTAATAATCTTGTTATTTTACACTTGATCACAAAAGTCCATTGAGGATTTCCAGAGTTAACAACCTACATATTTTAACCTTGATCAAATAAACCAACTTCATATTCTATCCTTGTAGTTTTTATAGTTTTGATCTTTAGTCTCTTCAAATTATGTCCTAAAAACTTTTTTTCTTTGTCCCTTCCCATAAAATTCTTCAAAGTGTTAACAAGCCAATTGTAAATCTAATATAGAAAAGTATCAAGATTTGTCTCTTGGTTTGTTATTTCTATATCATTTTAATTATTAAGAAGTCAGCTGGGTTCTTTTGTATGTCCAATATAGCATCTTTTCCATAACAGTTTTGTAGCTTGTCATTTTAAAATTCATTTTCAGATCAGTCTTAATCTTGTTTGTTCCTCTCCCATAATGTCTTTTAAACACTATCTATAGAGACAGACACTCTTTAAAATTAAATTCTGAGTCTGTTCAAAAATATCAAATATTGTATTTTGTATAATAAGTCTAATTTAGGTGTTCTTCTTTAAATATAATCTTAATTTCCTTTTAGTTTGCTTAGTTTCTAAACTTCAAAGTCTCATCTTATCATTTTTTTAAAGAATTCAAAACAAAAGTGTTTCCCCACAGGAAAGATTCTTATAATTAATTCTTAACATTTTATTTTAAATTCATCTACCTTTAGTCAATTTGTAACTCTCCAAAATCAAAGTTGCTGTTTATTCCAAAAATGCTTCTAAGTCCTATAACTCATATTAAAACTTTTTTTTGCTAAGGATTGAAGGAAACTTTTTTGTTCTTTAAAACTTGTCGATACAAAGGTTCCTTATAGCCAAAAAGCAGTTAACAAGCGATTTCCAAAAGTTATTAAAAAGGAAGTATTCCTGTTTTTAAAGGGATTGAGCATTGGTTGAGCAAGATACCGATTCCCTCATCTCCCAGAGTTCTAAACCTCCTAGAAACTGCTGTCTTGCAGCTTCTTCAGAGGGAACACCTGTATGGAACACTTGTGGATGATTTCATGTTGTCTCCTTGTCTGGAGAGTAATTACAAAGAACCAGTCTATTACTTTTAGCAAAGAGTCTTCAGTTTGCCATTTTTCCCTAGAAGTCCTTCAGTTGTGAAGTCAAGAGGATTTGCTGAGGATGATGTTATGATGTCTTTATATTACAGCTGTCTTCATTCCTAGTGAAAATAACTATATATGCCTTGCAATGTTTGCTGTTCATTAGTTAATGGGCAAAAGGATATTGTAGGTTTGTGATAGTACCCTGTTTCCTCAAAAATAAGGCCTATCCTGAAATTAAACCTAGCATGTTTTTAAATGTGCACCTAATATAAGCCCTAACCCCCTCCCCCAATAAGTCCTATTTAAGAGCCTGTGCAGCCAGCCACCTGCCCATTCCGTCTGGTTGCTCAGGGTTCTGCGGCCATGAGGCGAGGCAAGGGGTGGAGCTGCCCCATGCGCCCCACACTGGCTTACTTCAGGCCCCTGCATCCAGGCCATCCACACCCCGACACCTGCCTCATGGGAGCCCACATGGCTGCCGGCGCATTTCTTGCTCACAGCCACAACAGAGCAGGAGGCCAAGTGGCATGCTAGAGTCCCTGCCATGAGGCGAGGCAAGTGTCGGGGTGTGGATGGCCTGGCTGTGGGGGCCCTGAGGTTAGCTGGTATGGGTGCGTGGGACAGCTCCGCCTGCCCTGCCTTGCAGTGGTGGCACTGATGCATCATGAGGCCTCCTGCCCCGCAAGCAAACAGAAGTGAGCCTCCCGTACATGGGGAAAAAAAATAAGACACCGCCCCAAAATAAGCCCTAGTGCATATTTTGGGGCCTAAAAGAAAATAAGACCTGGCCTTATTTTCAGGGAAACACGGCTACCTGTACATTGAAACTAAACACAGTAGAATAAGGGAGAAGGGTAGATTGCCATCCAATTTCTATTAATAACACAATCTCATTACTTGCAAAATAGTTTCATTACCTCATTTCTTTGATTCACATTTCATTTTGGTTATGTGAATTTGTTTCCAATTCCATTAAATTGCTTCTTATTACAGACAAATGTAGCCTTAGTGGCACCATTACTGAGACTGGAGAACAATCATTGTCATATTGAGGAAAGTGAGCATGTGCTCAAGAAAGCTCACAAATACAGTGAATTAATCATACTATATGAGAAGAAAGGTCTCCATGAAAAGGGTAAGTACTGAGAGAGGAAAGAAGGAACCAAAGGGGTGTCCATATCACTTTAAACTATTCATTTTTGGTAGTATAATGTATGAGCAAATTTTGCATAGAGTGAACTAGCAAGCGAGATCAGTATTTTTTTGATGGGGAAGGAAATTAGAGATTGCAGTGTGATGTTCATACTGGGCTATATAGTTTATAGTACAGCATTGTCAGATTTATCACCAGAGTGAAACTGACACCTGGCATGTATATTTCTGTTCAGATGTTGTAGATGGCCCTCAAAGCAGCTATGTTGAGCATTGAAAAGGATTCCACACTATAATGCTTTTGAACAGCAAGTTTGGAAGGATACTTCACAGGATAGTCCTTCAAATAGTTTTTTCACAATCCTACTGTTTAACTTAAAAGATAATGAAATAGAGTTTTATTTTGCTGAAGCCTTGCAGGTACTAGTAGATCAGTCCAAGAAAGCTAATTCTCCCTTGAAGGGCCATGAAAGAACTGTTCAGTATTTACAACATTTGGGTGAGTGAAGTTGATTTACTTTCTTTGCAGTTGGTGTTGTGGCATATAGTATTATTTCATGTATCAAGAAAAATGGTTAATGGTTATCACAAAAGTAAACAAACAAAAATGTAATGATTGGGTTTATTCCCATCATAACAATATTTAAGTTCATGTTATAAAATAAGAAATTAGAAGATAATGTTTACATGAAAATCGGTGAATAGCATTTTTTTCTCAGCGCAAGTTAACATTTTTCTAAAAAATTTCCACCAAGCACCAACCATCAAGCTCAGAGAAGCACCAAGGACCCCACAAAAGTATATCTGGCAGGAGTTTTTATAGCATCTCCAGAAATTGTTGTGATAATCATGGTATCGTAGCAGTAAGAAAGCTGTGACCTAAAAATCAGGAGTGGGGAGAGGTATTTAGAACTCCCTTGGATCCTGCAGAGTGTATGCTCTGGGTTCTTTCAGTTAAGCAATGCCATCTCCCAGGTCCCTAGAAGCTCACCTTCTCTGTCATGCAAATATATTAGCAAAAAAAAGTCTCCAAGTTTTAAAGAGACTTGATGAACTTGCTAATAGAGGAGGGCTGGATAGTTCCTTACTCAATTCTGAAGATAACAGCTAAATTTTGATATTAAAACTAACGAAAGGAAGTATCTATGAATCTTGCTTCTTTGATTGTCCTCTGCAGTTAAGAACCTTAATGGTGCCTGTGTATGTTCTCTCCCTCCCTCCCTCTTTAAAAAAAGTTGTGTTAGAAAGATGTGTCAAGTCATTTGCACCATATTCTGTCATTGTGTTACTTTTGTAGTTCTTTAATGTGACGCCTTTGTTTTATACTGTAGGAACAGAGAACTTGAATTTAATATTTTCCTATTCGGTTTGGGTACTTAGGGATTTTCCTGAAGATGGATTAAAAGTAAGTACACTTGGATACATTTAAAAACAGGAGGAAGGGTTCTCTTCACTGACCATTATGATAGCAAAGTAAATAGTCTTAGGTAGGTTGCTGCCAGTTTGACTAATATTCCTAAAGCTATTAAATAGGTTAAGAATTACTTTTAATTATTATGACTATATACTCCACATGGGGACTACTTTGAATAACAATTTATCCTCAAAGATAAATTATAAATTATATTGTAATCCATTCAAAAAGAATGAAGCGTTTGTTTGGTAGGCAGTACAATTTCAACTATGTAGCATCTAATTGACCTCATTCAGAATATTTGCAGAGTTAATTTCAGGTTTTAACAGAATATCTTGCTTTTCTATATATGACACTAAGTTTGGATTATAATATTGACCATACAAAGAAACTAAAAACTATATAAAAAGTCTCAAGACTTTTTCAAGTAGAAAGGTCACTTGGAATTTGGGGACAAGATGGATTTTGCTTGAAACAAATGCTTTGTGTTCCGATATGCTAATTTCCCATTCCTTTTTATTAAAATTCTTTATTAAAACAATTTGGGCAAAGAGCTTGACAGAGCTAAAAACGTGATGGTGGGTATACTGTTACCTTCAGGCTCTATATTAAGGCCCTAAGATAAATAAGGTTCATCAGCTCCGTAATAGCAAATCATAAGAAATACAAAGAGAATGATGGATTGATTGGAAAGATATTGATTAGTCTTTGAGAAGATTAAAGAAAAATAAATCATAGATATTTGGTCAGAGAGTATTGTATATTTCTTTTATTTGTTACTATTTCTGCTTCTAGGAGCTCAAGGTGGCTTAAATAACATTCCTGCCTTCCTGTTTTTGCCTAACTTAATAGTCCCCTGGGGCAGGTTGAGTTGAAAGATAGTGACCACCCTAGAGTCACCCAATGACTCAATCAGGGTTAGGGTAAGCTAAGGTAGCATCCCAAGTCTTATCCCAATAGGGTAGCCCTTATATATAATACGGTGGTCTTGTTTTTTGAACTTTAATAAAATCAGAGTAAGTATGCAAATATCATCTTTGGAAATTCAACCATTTGTTTGGCAGATATTTACAGAAGATCTTCCTGAGGTAGAATCCCTCCCACGAAAAAGGATTCTGAACTTCTTGTTAGAGAATTTTAAAAACCTCACCATTCCTTACTTGGTAAGAACTAAAATTGTAAAAATCTACTTTTTAAAAATCTCATATTTTATTTCTCATACTGTCTAAATTATTTACAAAAGAAATAATTTTAGCCATCTTTTTTAAATTAAAAAATAATTTCTAATAGTTAGATAAGGAGACACATAGTTATTTTGAATTCCTGATGATCACATTTTGAAGTATTACAAAATTCTAGAGATACGTAGCATTAACTTTTATATTCAGTATATGTACATGTATTTCCAGGAGCATGTAATTGATATCTGGAATGAGTCTGGTTCAGAGTTTCACAATTGTCTGATTCAGCTCTACTGTGAGAAAGTGCAAGGCCTAATGAAGGAATATCTCACTTCTTTCCCTCCAGGTATTTTCATCTGTGATTTATATTATTATGCATAACCAGAAGCAAGAGTAGAGTTGGGATTGTTGCAGAGGGGAGCTCCAGTGATTCTGGAGTATATGGGTAGTGCTGTTTGGTTGCTCACTTAAGTAAGAGAACATTTTTAGAAGATCTAGGGAAATCTTAACTTTATATTGATCATTTCCAGTCAAGGAAGAAAAAATGTTTATGTGCATTTTAGTAGAATATTACAGAGAGCCAAACATAAAGAACAGCAGTAAGACATATTTAGTCACATATGAAATTCTTTTCTGACAGATGAAACACCAGTGCCAGCTGGTGAGGAAGAGGGGGAGCTTGGAGAATACCGGAAAAAACTTCTTTCCTTTCTCGAGAGTTCCAGTTATTACAATGCTGAGCAACTCATCAGTGACTTTCCCTTTGATGGTAAGAAGTAGTCACTCACCCATGCTGTGCAACATTTACAGTATTTAAGGGATTTATTTTTTTTTAATATTTAACTAAGAGGATTACCACCTATGTCTGTATCAGCCTGTTATTTAAGAGCTGTTCTATAAAAGCCATAGGCTTTAGTCTACAGATTGATAACAAAAAAAACCCTGCAATCTTTGATTAATCTTTGATTTCATATATAAAAAATGGCTCAATAGGGAATTATGTTGATGTGCAATAGAATAAACTAATGAATTTTTGTGTTGGAAATAACTTCTAAAATAGTTAAAAGCATAGAATTGTCTGGCTAGCTAGGCTAGTTAGCTATCATTAATATTATATTCTTTAATCTTTGTTAGCCACCCAACGTTAAATTTGTAAGATGGGCAGCCATATGAATTGATTTAAATAAATAAGGAAAATGCAACTAGACATGTCTGCAAAAATAATCAACAGTTTTCTGATCTATGATTGTAATTAAAGATTTGATTTAGTCAGTAGTCATTTCTGAACTTAGAAGGCCTAGAAAAAGACAGAGTAGTTTTGAAAGATTTGAAGAGTGGTGCTTTGCAGAGCCTCTCTTTTGAATGATTTGCAGTCCCGTAATTTAAACAGCAATGCATATTTTATTCCAAATTCCTCCATTGGTTCTTTCCTTCTTTCTTCTTCACTACTATACATATTCTTACAGACTGCTTTATAAACTTTATTGCCACCGAATGCTAGTTTTCTCCTCCTACCCTCAGGTCTCCTAGAAGAACGTGCATTGCTCTTGGGACGGATGGGAAATCACGAGCAAGCTCTATTTATATATGTTCACATCCTGAAGGACACCAAGATAGCTGAAAAGTATGAGCATGCTTTGTAATCTTTGAAACCGATAACCATCGACTTATTGGCAACTGTTATTAGACCATCTTGTTTTCAACTACATAGCTTCTCTACTTTGTTGTTGATGCAAAACTAAATTTAAAGTTTATGTAATCGCAGTGCATAATAATAGTTTCAGTGTCACTGTAATGAACAAGAATGTTTTGATAATCTTGGCAGTTCACTCCAACAGTCTAGAAAGATTACAATTTGCATACAGTTTCAAAGAAGTATAGCTGACCTATATGGTTTTGCTATGAATTTTTATTGATACAGATTTGAAAGGGATTCCAAGCAAGAAAGAAATATAGGCAGATTCAAGTTAAAATCTGAAATCATTGTCCAAAATTTCTGAAGTCTTTAAAGAGAGTTGTGAGAAATGTCGATAACATTTAAGAGATTTTGAACTTGTTTCTTTTGAAATTATGTTGGAATTTATAAGTAAATCTTCAGTAAAATGCATTCAGCAAAATTTACCAGATCTCTAATTTTATGAAATTAAATATTCTCCAATAACTCTTGTTTTTTCGAGAGTAATTACACCTGTTCAATATTTTGCCAAATGAGAAATCTGTTTGAATATCTTTAGCATTTGCTATCAACTGATTGATTAAAATTCAAAATATGTAGTTTATAATATGCTAGGCTTCTGTTCAGGTTTTGCTCTGAATTTCTTTTTGTTGTTTTCAGTTACTGTCACAAACACTATGACCGAAACAAAGATGGCAGTAAAGATGTGAGTAACTTGTTTTTCAACATTTTAAAGTTAATGCCCTGTGTTTATTAAACACATATCTGATATTTACTACATAATTAAATGCAGATGATAGATAAGTGCTATTAAAAATAATAATAAAGGCAGGATGGGGATGTGGAAGAAGTAAGATCAAAATGAGAATGAATCTTTAAACCATTTGTCCTTCCTGCAGTACTAATTATAATAGCTCCAACTACTTTTCCACTTGCTATTGCAATGTATGACTGTGAAAGTTGGACCATAAGGAAGGCTGAGCGCGAAAGAATTGAAGCCTTTGAATATGGTGCTGGAGAAGACTCCTGCGAGTCCCTTGGACTGCAAGGCGATCAAACAACAACCTCCCACTGGCCAATACGCTCCCACAGAGAGGGACTCCTCAGGGTGCCATCGGCCAAACAATGCCGACTGGCGACACCCAGGGGGAGAGCCCTCTCTGTGGGGGCACCAGCCCTCTGGAATGAGTTGCCCCTAGAGCTCCGTCTTAGCCCTGACCTGCAAACTTTTCGCCGTGCACTTAAGACCCTCCTATTCCAGCAAGCCGGACTGGCCTAATATGATTTTTTATTATGGGTGTATGTATGTTTTAACTTGCGGGCCAATTTTATATATTGATTTTAATTGGTTTTAAATTTTATAAATCCATGTATTTTAATATGGCTGTACACCAGCCTGAGTCCTTCGGGAGAAGGACGGTATAGAAATCGAATAAACTCAAACTCAAACTCAAACTGATCAGTCCTAGAGGAGATCAACCCTGGCTGCTCTTTAGAAGGCCAGATCCTGAAGATGAAACTCAAATACTTTGGCCACTTAATGAGAAGGAAGGACTCATTGGAGAAGAGCCTAATGCTGGGAAAGATTGAGGGCAAAAGAAGAAGCGACAGAGAATGAGGTGGCTGGATGGAGTCACTGAAGCAGTAGGCGCGAGCTTAAAAGGACTCCGGAGGATGGTAGAGGACAGGAAGCCTGAAGGAATGTTGTCCATGGAGTCGCAATGAATCGGACATGACTTCGCAACTAACAACAACAACAAAAAAAAAATTGATCTATTGATTTTGTTGGAATAAATTTGCAGATTGAGACTGAACTCACATTTGAAAAGCCATTATGCAATAATTAGATAAAAATAGTGAAATAGAGGAATGCTTAATTTAATTTGGCAAATCAAAGAATATAATTTTGCATTGGATTAAAAAGTTGCTTAAATGCTATAAAGAACATAATAATGGATTGTTATTATTTGGTTAGCTGCTTTTTTATATTGGTATTTAAGGTCCAATCTAGAAGCCAGTGTAATTTATAAGATCAGTGTTACATATCCCAAGCTATCTCTGTAAATTCTTACCAACTGTGTTCTGCGTTAACATTCTTCATAAATAGTTTTTTTGTAGAATGTTAGGCCAGAGTCATTTTTCTCCTCAGTTCTGTTCTGGCAGAACTATCTCAATCTACTGAATGAAACCATTGGTTTCATCAGCTTTAGGCTAAGAGTGCTATGGCTATATGGAACCAGTTAGCATCCATTTTACAGCCCCCAAAGTGGTGGCTGAAAGTGTCAAAACTTTTTTTTTTCATCCTGGCAGTTTGGGATAGATGTATTTATTTGTTTATTTTCAGTGTTCATATATCAGCAGTACACGAGGATAGTTTACCTGCTGTTACCTAAAATCATATTTTCACCCATTCTCTTTAGCTCCACTTTTTTATACAATTGTATAGAATTATAACTAGAATAGGTTTCCCTCTGTTGGAGAAAGACATACTTAACAGCAGGTTATTTTGGAGGGTTTAAAAAAAAACCCCACACAATGGTTTGTTCTGTGTGAAACAGGTGTACTTGTCTCTGCTCCGAATGTATCTTTCACCACCTAGCGTTCATTGCTTGGGACCAATCAAGATGGAACTCTTAGAGCCACAAGCCAATCTTCAAGCTGCATTGCAGGTTTTGGAACTTCATCACAGCAAATTGGACACTACTAAAGTAAGTTTTTCTTAATTTTGCTTTTTTAGATGGGAAACATTTTAGATTGTAGTGCTGGATAAAAAGAATGCTGTTCTAGTTGAAATACTTACTCTCCATCTACAAGCACTCTCAAAAGGAGAGTGAAGGAGTTTATAAAACATTGCAACATTCATTCTATTATCTCCAATCTATGGACATATAAGTTGTGGCTGGAGATTTCTCCTATATTTATGAGCATGCTTAGTATTAGTGTAAAATAAAACGCAAGTTAGAAAATTGGAATCATATTTTTATTTAGCTGTTTGTTTGTTTGCTGATGTGATTTCTTCTTCAATTATCATTTTATTGTATTTCTAGGCAATAAATCTCCTTCCAGCCAATACTCAAATTAGTGAGATCCGAATATTCTTGGAAAAAGTCCTTGAAGAAAATGCCCAAAAGAAGCGATTCAATCAGATACTTAAAAAGCTTCTCCATGCTGAATTCTTGCGAGTATGTGTCAGATCTTTTTTCCTTATCAATGATTATAAGAAAGAAAGCTAAAACATGGAACAGGATAACATTATTGTTATTCCAGAGATCCCCATATCCCCATACTAGTTAAAGGACCATATCTGGTTTTTTTTCCTCACGTGCTTTTGAAGGAATTATTCTTTTCTAAAGTTATTCTTATTTTGCGAAAGGTGCAGGAAGAACGGATTTTACATCAGCAGGTGAAATGTATAATCACAGAAGAAAAAGTTTGTGGTGTGTGTAAAAAGAAGATTGGAAATAGGTATGTTAAATTACTATTAGGAAACGAGAAGAAATTGCTGCCCAATCTGTTTTTGCAGATTGTTGAGTTCTGACAGTATAGTCTTTCCTTGGTTGCTTTTATGGAAATGTTCGTTGAGAGATTGGTTTCCTTATATATAGTTTCATAACTTACCTTGTAAAATGGCAGTCTTTCTTACATGGAAGCAATACAGGATATAAGCCCTTTAAATATAGTCATATATGAAAGATGTCATTCAAATGAAGGATTTAATAACTTTAGATTTTATATCTACACACTTGTTCCATCTAGCTGGGCTGGCTTGATCCCACCCTCTCAGTTTTTTAATCAAATTTCGGTTTTAATTGGGTTGTTTTAAATTCGGGCCAAAATTATTTAATTGTTTTTTTAAATGTTTTTAAATTTTATATGCTATGTTTTATCCTGGCTGTACACCTCCCTGAGTCCCGCAGGAGAAGGGCGGTATAGAAATATAATAAAATAAATAAATAAATAATAATAAATATCCTTTTTAAGTGATGTCAATCCTTTAATTTTGAAATAGGTTTTATTTAAATGATTCTTTTCAAGGTCTTATGCTTGCAAATCTCTCTTATTTTATATTAGAAATGTGCTTCAAATATGTTCAGATTTACAGCTGAGTCATAAATGATTACTGTGTTAAAATGTTCTTGAATGAATCAGTTCCTTAAGAAGCAGTGCAGCTAGTTTACATTCTTTGTTTAGTCCCACATTCTGTTCTGATGTTCTATGGTAAAAACTAAAGGCTCCTTCAGATCAATCTCAGCTTCTGGTAACTCCTGGACATATTCACTTATAAATTTTGTGGCAACATTACAGAGCTGGTTTGCTGTTGCTTTCTAGGGTGTTTTTTCAACTTCCCAGTCAAGCCTGTAGTTCAGGATTCCCTGGTGGCCTTCCATCAAAATATTAACAAAGTACAACCTTGATTAGCTTTGGAGCCCAGACAGGATCAGCCAGATGCTGCAACCTGTTTAGGCCATTATTATATAATTTAGCATTTTTATTTTCAAAAAGGGTGCTAGTTTCACCACCATATTCTTTATTATTGGGCTGTTTATACATGGTAGGATTTTGCCTTCCTTCTGTCTTATAGACTGCAATTTTCATCTTGTGTTCAGTTTTTAAATCTGCTTGTTCAGTTATAAATCACTCTTATGTCCTTCCGTATTATCTTATAGAGTCCTGCTTCACAACATTATAGCTTCCCACTCTGTACAGAGCTTTATGAAGTTGGCAGCATTTGTCTGAGATTCAAACTTTCTTCCAAATAGCTTTGTAATTAAAAAAGTAAAGCTGTTATTTGCAACCACAGAAGGAAAGCACTACTGTACATAAAGTACATAGTGCTTTACATAAACACAAAGGGACAAAGACATTGGAGTAAGGCATTAAAAATTTCAACAAAAAGAGATATTATTACAAATATACCTATGGAAAGAATTGATTTATGTAAGAGGTATCTGTCGCATATGTGTAAAAATGGCAGGACATGTTTTATAAGGAGCACCAGAAATAATTACTATAAAATTCTATATTTAAACTGATACGCTGTTTTCTTTTCTGCTTATAGTGCCTTTGCCCGGTTTCCTAATGCAGTTGTTGTGCATTATTTCTGCTCCAAAGATGTTGGCTCAATGGATACCTGAAAGCATTGCCACTCATTACATGAACTAGATGGTTACAATGGTCATATGGCAAGAGAAAGAACATTTGATAAGCAGTTTGATTTCTCTAAAGAATCTTCTGAGGCATGTTGCTTGCAAAGAGCTTGAGCCCTCCATTGCTTCACTGGATGATTTCTAATTTGCCCAGCGTGGACTGAACAACAACAAAAAAACTGGTTTAAACTATAGTTAGATACACTTAGTGGCAGGTTAACCTCATAGTACTTCAGTTTGAGGAAGAATGCAAACTAAATATGTAATGGCTTGCTGTTACACTCCAGATTTATAGGAATTCCTATTAAAGGAAAACTGATGCTAAACATTAATGACAGGAGCAAAAGCATTTTTGGTACAAGTCATCATTCAGATCCAAGTTGAGAAAAAAATCTTATATTTTATCAGTGTTGTATTAAAATCTACTTTCATCAGCCATTTGGAGGCAGGTACTACCAAAAAAGGCTATACTTAGATTTCCTTTCCTTCTGATATTGGAAAAAAGGTAGATACTGATAAGAAAACTTTGTATCTGAAGAGATCATCAGCAGTAATAGTTCCAAAGGAACTAATCTCATACAATATGATCAGAGTTGGTACTTTTGGTTTATTTTATTTTTTTGAAAATACAAATGGGCTTACTATTTGCACTGTGTTTTGTCACTAACATTATGAACGTAATAAAAATGGCAACAGTTTTTGAAGGAAAACTAGCACTTGCACTTTTTACAGAAAAGAGAAAAAAGTGATCTTTTGAGATTTTAAAGAGGGCAGGTTTTCATATTGCTGGAACATCTGATCTCTGTTTAAACACAACATTGTAGTGAAATATTTAAGCCTTTTGTGCACTTCCCCCTTCAGGTAAAAGCAGACGCTTATTTAATGTCAGTATTTTGAATTTCTTATACCTGTTCAGATTGGTGCTCTTTGGTTGCTTGATGTACCTAAATCACTTTTTTATGTTGGAAGAAACTGCTTACTGTTACATACTGGAGTTTAAATCTTTGTTGTGAAGGGATAAGGTTGGGAGTATTCACATAAAGATAAACTCAGGAGCTAAATGTGGAATTACTTCAATTTAGTTCGGTGTTGTTTTACTTTATTGTATTTTGTAAAATTGATAATGCAATTGTGGCACATGATCCATTTACTGAGCTGGCCTAAAATGTAAGGATGGCCCAAGAAAAGTTGGTTAAGATTTTCTTTTTATAATGTTTGAATTTCAGTTATAATATATGCTTGTTATGGTTAGAAATGAACAAGGAGAAATTTAGAACATAATATACTGCAAAAACAGCTTGGTATTTTGTAATATTTGTTTTCCTGATAACCTTTATTCTATTTCCAATGGAGTCAATTCCAGAGAGCATATCTCTTTCTGATTATGTGCAGTTAATTCAATATTACTGCAGGTTTTAGGATTCATTCATTTGTAAAATTAAGTACCATTTTCAATGTGTGTGTGTGTGTAGAACAAAGTAATTATCTTCTTCACATGGAAGAAATACAGAGCTATTGGAGCATTTATACTCAAAAACCTTTATAAAATAGAGCAGATAACTCTTTGGAGATTAACAAAGGACAAAGGACAATTATTGCAAAACAAATTAGGAGCTTTGCTGACCATTCTGACACACTAAAGTGTGTTTGCTGCCAAGAAAATAGTGAGCCACTGAGGCTTCTGGTAAGTATTTTGTTTTTCCTTCACAGCAAAGTTTTTATGTGCCTTGGCTCAGCTTCCTGTATCCTTGGAGGAGATGTTGCTTGTGTTTTTATTGCCTGCTGGTAGCCTTGTATAAGAATATGGGACTCACCAATTGTACAGCGGGCTCCTTTGAAGCAATAAAGTATAACGTTTTGAGAAATTGGCACTGCTATCTGTTTTTCCCTGTATTTCCTGTTTGAAATCAGTGGTGTGTGTAAGTACTGTCCAAGAGTTTAGTGTGAAATAAGTATTGTGCTGATAGTGAAGTTCTAAAAACTTCTGTTCAGGAATATCTCTCTTAAACTGCTGTACAAGTTTATGAAGTTCAGCTTAACTTTATTTGCCTTCATTGATGAAGTTCAGTTTAACTTGTAGATAAAGTCTTGTTCAATTTGATCTCAAATGTCTGGCCTTTTGTTCTCCACAGGAATACAGAAGTGGTTTGCAGCTTGTCACCTTTTGGGCTGGTTTTCACCTGCTCAGTCTAATTTATAGCCCTGTAACCTATGGCAAACTGAATATTGTTATACAGATAGACACGCATAAAAGCTCTCCTTTCCAATTATTAACCAGACCTGATTCTGAACCTAGATAAGGGTAGCTATTTAGTTTGTATTATCTATATTTTTAACCATGGTTTTATTATCTTTTTAAAAAGATGCTGTTGATGTTGAAAATAAATCCTTAAAGAAACATTCCCTTTACATTTCTAAACCAGTTTTATCATAAGGTAGAAGAGAAGGAGAAAGTAGCATTCTAGGCAGCCTATTGATCTAGTGGCTCTGGTAATTCAGGGGGAAATGAGCTGAGTTCTTCAGGAAAAATACTATGATTTCTCTTTTCATATTCAGAGCATTTAATGTGCATAAATATAGTAAATTTCTCACTGTACATCTGACCTTGTGTTCTGTATACAATATTTTAAAAAATGAAGATCAGGCTCTGCTTTTAGAGACTGAGCATATGTTGAAAGTAAAGTCATGAGCCATTGTGAAACCGCCAGGAAATACAAATCGGACCCGGTTTATTCATACCCTGTAATGAAGTGAGCAAGTGGGAGCTTTTCTTCTCTTGAAAAATGAGATCTCATTTTATTAATCATTTTGGTTCAGGATCACTTTATTTTCTTTCAGTGTTTTTTTTTTTTTCTCCTTTGGAATATGAGAAGCGCCTCAGTTTCTACTTACAAATGTATTTTGTAAAAAAACCAGCTGATTTATGTGTCCCAATCACTTCCCTAAACTGACAAAGTTAATCTTCAGATTGTGATGATTCATTTAGTAACCATTTGAAGTTATGATTGCATTGAAATAGGTGACTTAAGACTAGTCCTCTTCAATGGGAATGCATGTGGGCAAAGGATTTAAAATTTACATTAATTATAACTTGAAAGAATTTTTTAATAAAATGATTAATCATTGATATTTAACACCTGATAAATTGTCAAAGATGTATGCTAGAAATGTAAAAAGAATTTTCTACCATCTTTGGTGAACTTACGATGAAGCAAAGATATACTGGGGAAAGATTCATATTTTAATATAGAAGATTCTTAAAATGAATATAGAAATAAAAGCAGAGACTTCTAGATTTAATGGACAAAGAACTTGAAAAAAATGGAACATAGTTGTTACACATGTGGATAGCAGTAAGAATGCTTTATGTTTACAAATGGAAAGGTACATTAATTTCCATAGTGGAAAAGTGGTTGGAAAAATTAGAACAAGTAAAGATGACCAAATTAACATTTTTAATCAAAGAAAAGAATAAATCTAACTTGTTTCTATCTGGAAACAGCTTCTGAATTTTGTGCTTGCGATAGAAAAATATAAAACTTTGACTTTGGGATTTACTGATTAGACAAGGTTTTCTTGTTATAGCAATGGCTGGTATATACTGAATATGCAAAGTAAAAAGTTGAAGCTAAGATGTTGTTATGACCATTCTGCTGTGGTGAATAGTTGGAAAATACTGCTTTCTTCCTCCCTGCAGCTTACATTTCTTTCTTTCCCCTTTTCTCCTTCCCCCTTTTCTCACTATTTTCATTTTCATTTGTATTTTATACTGAGATACATTTAATAAAATATTTTTAAAAGACCAGTCTTCCCACTTATGACCATCACAGCATCCCCGCAGTAACATGATCAAAATTTAAATCAATTCTTGATGTACACCAATATCCAAAGTAGACACACTGTAATTGTTATGTGACAGTAACATCTGTCAATAGTTCAGCTGTTCCAGTTTTTTTCTGTCTAATGGAGAAATAGATGCTTAGAAAATTGTGCAATAAATAGCTTCCACATAAATAAACTTCTTTGCAGTTTATGCTCTTGCTGAAACTATCTCACAATGAAGACTAACTACTGAGTGGCTATATTTATACCAAAATAACATAGTGGCTTCAGAAGCCATAGGCACCAGTCAAGAGTATCAAAACTTTTTTTTCTTTGATTTCCTTGGTATGCTTATAAATGACCTTATTTCTCTCAATCTAACGGCTAGTTGAAAACTGATGTACGCTGTGCATTATATAGTAATATATTTTTGTGATTTACGAAAACAATGTTAATATGTTCACATAACACACTATTAAGATTCATACATCATGCTGTGCCAGGGTTTTGTTGTTGTTTAGCTTTGATTACCTTGTGGGAACTCGGCCATTGTGGTTTAAATAATGCTTTATAATTTACTGAATTATGGTAACCCAGCCAATTGTATTTTTTCAATAAACTAGTTAGCAAATTACGATTTAATGTGGTATGTGAATCCAGTCACTATTGACATACCTGATCTCTAAAATTAATTGTACCTGTTATTTAAATATACCTGTGAAATATATAGTTCTACAAGTATCTAGTGAGTTATAAGCAACATTTCATTATTTAAATGTAATTTATAATTATTGAGGTAGTGATTGCTTAAGGCAAATGTTAATTTTAAGCATAACAGAAGTAGGCCAACATAAGTGAACTTGTATAAATTATTCAATATATTTGTTAAAATTTTCTTCTTCGGGGTGTATTGACTAACTTGGAGGGTCCATCTTGTAATGCATTTGTTATAATTTCAAACTATCTAATGTTTAGCAATTTCATCCCTGAACTTCTCCAATGATGTCATTGCTCCCTATAAGATGGGGATTCATCATATTGCACTGACATGGTGCAAGTATTAACATGTACTTCTGTTCCTTTGTCACATGGGGAATTCTTGAGTGAGGTAACGATATTGCCTTTTGTATTACTTGTATTACTTTTGTATTACTTTGTATAGATACCATACTTTGCATAGATTTTAGTTCTGAAATTATATGACCACCTCAATAGGGCAAATATTTTTACTGGAGAAAAGTAATGTTCTTACTTGATTTAATAAGGTGGCAAAGAATGAAAGTCAGGATTCAAAACAAATACATTGAACAGTTTATAAGGAAAGTAGAGAACGGCTTCTGTATAAAAACAGTATAGTCTCTAGCTTTATCAACTTCCCCATTGCATTTGTGAGGAAAAGATATATTCTTCATATTATCATAATAGTGTAAAAATGAAATTGGATATACTTAAAAAGTTAAAGTAACCTTTTTCAGTCTCGCGATTTGTATATAAAAAAAATTTTTTTTTTAATGTAAGCAGCAATTATTGCTGTTATTTAAAAAATACAGTTTGCTCCCCACCCTTATTCTGGAACCAAACCACCAGAGTCACTTTGGATAGTAAGATGGATGGTGTATAAATGAAATGAATAAATAAATAAATAAAACCCTGATTAATCTTATTTTTGATGTTTGGATTTTGTTGAATAAATCACTATACTTAACATTTTATTTTGCACATTATGTATTTTATGTTTTATAGATGTGCTTTATATTGCTAGTTTGGAATTTTGTTTAAAAATGTTTTGTAAGCCACTATGAAGAAAAAAAAATAAGTAAAATATTTTTGAAGCAAAGAAAAATGAAGATAAAAAATGTTCTGGATCCAGAATAATAAGGCACTAAATATGTATAATTCATTAGAATGTTTCTATTTTTTTTCCCTATTTTTTTCTATTTTTTATTTGACTGAAAGTGAAAGCTTCTGGGGAAAATCTCTATAATTAGGTTTTGTTTTGTTTTAATAGAAAAACTGTTTCATCTGATATTCAGAACATTTGAGGCTGTGAAGGCTTACATTGGCATTTGGGACCCAGATTGCATTTTTGTAAGATTGGTTTTATGTATTCCAAGCAAACTATGAAGTTATCAACACTCCATAAGCAGTTCTGTTAGCATGCTTGTCATTTTTTTCAATTCCAATTTTGCATGATTCCTTTATCTCTTATTGCATAAAATAATTAGGTTCTGGTACTTTAACCTAGTAATGCCATCTCTTTTGTTTGATAATGGAAGATTGAAAATCTGACTTTGGAATAAAAAATTACTTGACTCATTTCCAAAGAGCTTCATCGAGACCTACTACATAGGTGATAATATTGTTTCTACTCAAGATAGTTAAAATATAAATTGAAATCTGATGAAAAATACCTTAGAAAGCACATTGAAATAGCCATGGATAATTTACCAGGTTTAAGTGGCTTAGGAAAGCTCTCTTAAACATTATCATGCCAAACTATTTGTTGCCACTATGATCTGAGAATCTTTCTTGACAGCAATTTTTAAGACGTGGACTTCAACTCAGAATTCCCTACCTGCCATGCGCTAGATACGCTCTTTTACGAGGAATACAATGACTTCAGAACAGGTTGAATTCCATTCTGGAATTCGCTTACAACACCTCCATTCTGGATTTAATTCAGCTGGCTTGCCTTTATACAACTCATTATTGAGTTGAAACATCAGCCGAAGGAATTGCTGCCTCCTGAGTTTTATGGCTAGGAATAGTATATATGAGAAGATATGTGACCTGAATCCTTGGTGTTTGAATGGTATCCAGTTATGAAAACTTTTCTAGAGAACTTTCAGAGGAATTGCGTGATAGTATCACTGAAGAAAGTGCATTTAAAAAAGATAGTTTTGAAAATAGCTTTGAAAATGACTGACTCGTATCCAGTTTGTACCATTTCACCATTCCCTGAAAAATCAAGGCAGTAGTTCACTAAAGTTATTATCAATCCCATCCTTTTCATGAATGGCTGACTGAATCCAATGGTTTTGGGTTTTAAATAGGGACCTCACATTTAAGTGAAATAATTTCCTAAGATCTTAAGTTAGATATTAGCTATTAATAAGCTGATTAAGAAATTGTTGGGCCCAGGAAGCCTAATAATAACAGATTGTCTTCATTATCACAAGAGCATATTCAAACTTTTAAAGTTTGGACTTTTGGACAATATTCTTGGAATCCATACAGGGGTGATAATGTTTGGTTTCAATTCAATTTGGATTTAAAACAAACATTCTCAAGGATTGGCTATCTGCCAAATACAGTAACTTTTTAATTTCCAGGCTATGATGTTCACAACAGAAGCAAATTTCTAGTTAACGAGTCATCACAATGCCTATGCAGTTCTTAGTTTTAAGTCCTAATGGCAAAGCTTGTATTTAATAGAGTATGGTTTTGGTAAACCCAAAATGGTGATGAGTCTGGATCTAGATAATACAATAAATCCAGGTTATAATTCAAACATCTCTACACAATGGAAAAGGAAGATAGCAGTGAGTATACACTTGTTAGCTGAACATTGTGTAAACATAACCTTGATCAATAAATGTGATCAAAATGTGCCCTCTTCTACAGGAACCCCAATTCTTGTTTATTTATTTATTTATTTTTATATGCCGCCCTTCTCCGGAGACTCAGGTGGCTTACAATGCGTTAAGCAATAGTCTTCATACTTTTGTATATTTTATACAAAGTCAGTTTATTGCCCCCACAAACCGGGTCCTCATTTTACCCACCTTAGAAAGGATGGAAGGCTGAGTCGACCTTGAGCCTGGTGAGAATTGAACTTGCAGTAATTGTAGGCAGCTGGCAGCTAAGTGCTACTTAACAGCACTTTAGTCCACTGCGCCACCAAGGCGCTTTCTCCCTCTTTTCATTCTCTCTCTTTCTGAGTGTCGGGTGTGCATGCACGCCAGAACCCAGAAATTCAGCTTTTCCGGAACACAATCCCTTCGCGTGTATGGAAGTGCCGAAAACCGGCCTGCACATGGCATGCTGGCCAGCTGATCGTCGGGCGTGCATGCATGCTAGAACCCGAAAGTTCGGCTTTTCCAGAGCATGGCCCCGACAAGCGCACACACGATGTTTCAGCATGACCCTTTTGGCACTCGCTGCTGAAAAGGTTCGCCATCCCTGGACTAGGTCATCGCAGAGAGGGACCAGTTTAATTTCTAAAAGGAAGTGAGTTCATAATATAAATACCATGACTGAAAAGCATCAACCATCCCAATCGTCAGCCATTCCTCTCTTCAAAAAATGGGATACCATGAGCAGCTTTTCTTGGGAGGACTTTCTTGGATCAGTTAAATCCTGTTGTTATAACCTGGACTTTATGAATAAAAACTATTTTGACTGCTTTTTGGATGAGTGAAAGCCAATGCAGATACTGCAATACAGGATCCATAAAATATTATCATGAAGATTAGTGTCAAATCAATAAGCAATTGCTATATTTTGAACCAATCCCAGATTCTGAGATGTTTTTATCAGATGATATTAATCACTACAGGTAAGTAACTTGGAGGTTATTTACTCCTCCTTGAACAGCAGGTAGAAGCTGTGGCCAAAGGTTCTGTGTCCAGCTATGGCCACAAGTAGATAAAGAAGGATCAACAATGGCAATTCATGCTTTGATCACCATGCAACACACTATAGGTGGTTGCCTTTAAGATGACTTGAATGTATCAACGGGTACAGAATTCAGCAGCCAGACCTCAAATCAGGAGAAATCTGCAACTATAGAATATCTACTATTTTGTGGCCATTATACTGATTTTCAGGAGGCTTCCAAGTCTAATTCAAAGGGCTACTTATCCCTTGTACAATGTGGTATTCAATATATCAAGGGCTGCCTTATGCAAGGGAATCTCTGTCCTTCCTTATTCCAACACCTTAAATCCCATTCGTGAAAGGTAAAAGCATTTGGGCCAGAAGGCAGGTCTTCTCTAAGGTGGCTCACTCCCGTATTAGGAAATATCTTGCCATTTCTCCAGATATACTTGTCCAATTCAGTTCTGGTCTCCTGGAAGGCACTGAAAATCATCCCAACAACGAATAATAGCCAACCCTTTATTTATATTAATTCTATTTAGTGTTTTTATTTTAGTAAGGGTTGGGGAATGCTGTGATTTATTGATGGGTGCATTGTACAGCCATTGTACAGAAACTGTTGATCCGGCCAGTTCGGAAAAGTAAAGTAAAATGAATGAATGAATGAATAAATACATTCTTATTTGGGTATGTGCGTTCGTGCATGTACTTAGGTAGGATAACATCTTGCAAACGCCGCAGTGCTCCTGTCATCCTGAATTATTATGTCACGAATCCAAACTTCCGGGGAGGCGGTTGTTTTGCAGGAAAGGTAAAACCCCGCCGGTGCTAAAGTTGCCCAAACTCTGGAAGAACAAGCTTGACCAAGGGGAAAGAAAACGAAAGGGGTCCCCTTCTCAGTCTCTGCAGCTGAAGCTTCCCCGCTGAAGCCCAAGCGCGCCAGCCAGAGGGGACCCGCACTTGCTCTGCTCCAAGCCACGCCCCCCGCCTCCCCCTTCCCGCCTCTCGCTCCGCGCCTGGAGTCCTTGGCCGCGAAGTAGATCGAGAACCGCCAGGTCCCGAAGACGGAGGCGATCCAAGTCTCGTCATGTTCCGCCAAACGCTGTTGGGCCGGCTGCCGCCCCGAATGTTGCCCCTCGTGGCCGCAGCCCTCCTCGAAGGGAAGGAAAGGAAAGAAACTGGCCTCTATCACTGGCGGGTAATGTGGGCTGTGATGCGACGGGCAGCCTTTCCCAAGCAGAAGTCCGCGCAAGGGCTTAAGGAATTGGCAGCCGCGTCAGTTCTTTCTTTCTTTCTTTCTTTCTTTCTTTCTTTCTTTCTTTCTTTCTTTCTTTCTTTCTTTCTTTCTTTCTTTCTTTCTTTCTTTTTTTTCTTTTTTTTTTCCTTCCCTTCTTCCTTTTTCTCCCTCCCTCCCTTTCTTCTTTCCTTCTTTCCTTCCTCTCTTTCCTTTCCTTCTTTCCTTCTTCTCCTTCCTTCCTTTCTTTCCTTCCTTTCTTTCCTTCCTCTCCTTCTTTCCTTCTTTCTTTCCTTCTTTTCTTCTTTTTCTTCCTTCCTTCCTTTCCTTCTTTCTTTTCTCCTTCTTTCCTTCTTTCCTTCTTCTCTTCCTTTTTATTTCTTCTTTTCTTTCATTCATTTTCCTTCTCTTCTTCTTTTTCTTTCTTTCCTTCCTTCCTTCTCTCTTCTTCTTCTTCTTCCTTTTTTCTTTCTTTCTTTCCTTCCTTCTCCCTCCTCCCTTCCTTCCTTTCTTCTTTCCTTCTCTCCTTCCTTTCCTTCTTTCCTTCTTCTTTCCTTCTTTTTCCTTCCTTCCTTCCTTTCCTTCTTTCTTTCCTCTCCTTCCTTTCCTTCTTTCCTTCCTTCTTTCCTTTCTCCCCCCCCTCTCCTTCGCTTTTTTTTAAGTTGAAGGACGAGGAAAAACTGAGGTAACTCGAGAGAAAGGCGCCTTTAGGAGCAAGCAAAGGCTTTTTTTAAAAAAAACAACAACAACAACCCGGGAGTGTGGATCATAACGAAGCCGGTCTCGTTTTGGCTTCGCTCTTTGCGCCAGCTCACTTTTTACCTTCGCCGAAGGTTGAGCCTTGAAGAAATTGGGCTGATCCCGCTCCCCATTTTAGGCGAGACTCTTCACTCACAGGAGATCGGCTGCTTCTTTAATTCCTCAGGTTTTAATTGTTCGCTTCTAAAGACGTTCTAAAGGTGTAATCTTTACATCTAAAGGTTACATCTTCAGAATTTAGAAATACTCCTGATGAATTACATCTGATACAAGTTGCATAATGAGCGCTGTTGAAGTCAGCGTGTCCCAACCTGACTTTGACTCTTGTACAGCCTCCACTTGTTCATAATTTACAGCCGTTGTATTTTGAATACTTCCTTATGTGTCCCCCACAGTTTTTGTTAGATAAATTGGGCAGCTTCATAATCCTTCATAATTCACAATGTTCAGTACAAATTTCCTTTTTTAAAATGCTGACTTCAATGAAAGCTACTACTAGCCAATAGTTTTTAAGGCAGATTCCATCATAAGTTGCTGCTGGCCTGCCAGTTTGGCCAGTATCACTGCCGTTCTTCTCAGTGGATGGCTGGGAAAGGGGCCCCTGGTGTATTTGTTATTCCTAATGAAGGAAATGAAATTGAGACATGAAGTGGGGGTAAGGAGACTTATCTTTTTTCAGATCTTTCCCAGGAACCTGTTACATTTCCATCTACCGTATCTGGTAGTGTTCAGTATTATTTCGATAAAATGATTGAGTAATCATAACTTTCATTGTAACTAAACAGTATATAAATGGCAAAGTGTCCCTTAGGTTAAGATTGACTTTCAATGATTGTATGAATGGAAGTATCCTTAAAGTTTTCTTAACAGCAATATAGGAGTGGTTTGCCACTGACTTTTTCAACGTTCCTGTCTAGCTTCAAAGTCTCCCATCCTGATATCAGTGTGGTCCAACTATACTTATCTTTACGGGGGTGGAAGGGATTACTTAAATTTGGAAGGATTTCTACCTGCTTAAGCAAATCTTGAAAGAAGTAAAATAGGTATGGTAAAATATAAACAGAATTACTGATAGGAAAGTAAATTATGAATGCATGGCCATGAATAAATCCAAGCAATGTTCATGACTATTGCAATATGCCATATAAATGTCCTTGCCTGAGAATTTAAATAAGTGGATTTTAGAAACCCTTGAAGGATATGTACCCACTTGATCTATTTCTGTTTGGCATGTGTTTAAACCTTGGATGGCGTTAGGTAAAAATAGCAAGGGATTGATATTGGGAATCCATCCATGTGTGTTATTTTCTACAGAGAGGTCAGTAAGATAATTAAGGTCACCAGATATAGCAGCTCTTGCATGTTAATATTTGGACGAATTATTTTTGCAGCGTGAAAAGCACCCTTATTACAATCTCACTGTAAAAGTCCTCAGAGCCAGGAACATTAAAGGAACAGATTTATGTAAGTATCTGGAGACGTTTAGTTTCTCATTTGGATGCACCTTTATAATATATTTGATAGAAAACCGACTGTGATCAGGGATGGACAGTTTCTTAAATCAGTAGTCCTAGTCATAGCGAATAGTGAGGGATAAGAACGTTCCATGGATTTCACAGCTGTTGTGTGACCTCAGGAAAAGGCAAAGCTTTTTTAAGAAGGATTAAGAGGTATACTATGTTTGCCATGTGTGTGTCTGTGTGTGTGTCTGTGTGTCTGTGTCTTTGAATCAGTTTTTAATTTCCTGGCAATTGTCTGCAGTGGTCTTGGCAAAGTGTTCAAAAGTGGTTCGCCACTGCCTACTTCCAAAGACTGAAAGAAAGTTAGTGGCCCAAGATCACACAGCTGGCTTTGTGGCTAAGGCAGGGTTAGAACTCACAGTCTCCAAGTTTCTAGCTTGATGCCTTAACCACTACATCCAAACTGGCTCTCTGTTTATTTTTTGGGTAGTCTGTACAGCGTTCTGTGCGCCTTTGGCATTTAGTCATGCCAGCCACATAACCATGGAGACGTCTTCGGACAGCGCTGGCTCTTTGGCTTTGAAATGGAGATGAGCACCACCCCCTAGAGTCAGGAATGACTAGCACATACGTGCGAGAGGAACCTTTACCTTTACCTTTTTATACCTGCTCTGAAAGCTTTCTTTTGGCATATGATCTGAAGTGTAGTATAGGAATAGGGAAGCATTTGTAGTCTGAGAATTGGTTGAACATGAAGCATGTCGGATACCTTATACAGGAATAAGCATGGTTATTCTCCCCTAAACTTAGACTGGAACATGAATATGGTGTAATCACCAAGAGTCAGCCTGGCTCAAAGCTATCTTTTATCTTTAACTTTCAAAAAGCTAGGTCATAACTCTTTCTTGTAGTCCTGTCCCGTATACAGAGAATTTTTCCCCCCTAGTGATGATGAGGGGCTGGCTATGGTGTTCCTTTTCTTTTAGGATGTTCACACATTGTATTCTTTTTAAAAACTTTTTTTAAGCTATGTTTTTCCTGTAAAAATAATCTGATATTTAAATACTGCAAAAATGTACCTAAATCCAGAATAAAGTGAACAGGTAAAAAGAGAAAAAAATGCAAATGTGCTTTATATAAGTTTGATTACTTAAATATGCCTTTTTCTGATGCTCAGTATAAGCCATGGTGAATAAATAATAAATAGAATTTTTTTTCCTGTAACAATAGAGTCACAGTATGAGACAGTATTTGTATTTGACTACTAAACATGAGAATTTCAAAGAATAGTCTGCTGGATAGTTCAGCAGACTAATGCATTGTAATTAACATCCAGCTGTCTGCAATTACTGTAAGTTCGAATCTCACCAGGCTCAAGGTTGACTCAGCCTTCCATCCTTTCTAAGGTAGGTAAATTGAGGACCCAGTTTGTGGGGGCAATAAGCTGACTTTGTATAAATATACAAAAGTATGAAGGCTATTGCTTAACGCATTGTAAGCCGCCCTGAGTCTCTGGAGAAGGGCGGCATATAAATCAAATTTAAATAAATAAATAAATAAATATATATTTTAAACATTTAAGAAAATACTCAATTTTTCCATTCTACCAATTAAGAAGTTATTCACTGTGGCTTAGAATATACAGAAACCATAAAAAGAAGTTTAATACTAGTGAAAAGCAGTAGCCAAACAGGGACCTATAATTATAAGTGAATAAATAAAATTAATATAACCAATGCTTAATTAAGGAGAATGTCAGGATTCCAAGTAATACCCCCAACAAAAGAAAACTCTGACACTTGAAGTTCCTCAAAGTTCCAATTTATTAGAGATGTCATATTGGCACATTTGGGAAAACCCGAATCTGAAAATTTCCAGGTTTTCCCCACCCAAAGAAAAGTTCAAGTCCTTGCCCAACACCCACAAGTCCATTACATGGTCCAATCAAACATCGTCCCAACTGGAGATGCCTCCCAGGTCCAGCCTTCCAGGTGCAGGGCAATTTGTCCTTGACTTTCTGAGAAAGGAATGTTATTATGACTATACAGCACCCTGGCTCCACCCCCTCCCTGTTTCCCACAGTAGTAAACCTGGCAGGTCTGAAGGCCTAGTGCAAAAGATGGCTTCCAGGCCTGACAGAGAATTATTTTCTATTATCAGTAGAATACAGCTGAAGAGGAAAACAAGATACTGTAATTGATTGGATTCAAAACTTTTGAAAGGTCCACTAGAAGTAAAAGAGAAATAGAGTTCTCTCATTTTCTAATTCCAGGAAAAGATAATCTTACAGGATTCCAAAACTAAGCTTTAGTCTAAATTGAACAAAATCCAGACAAGTGTTATATAGAAATTAATGAAAATTGAATCACCATCTACTTAAACATCATTCGCAAATAGAATGTGACTGCAAGTTATTTAACATGGGGATTTGAAGAGTTATCAGTTTTCAACTATCCTTTTCGGCTGGCCTGTACAAATTAGGAAGGACCAAATGTAAAGATAGATGACTTTCCTAATTTAACAATCCTGTCCATATCTGTCCTTTTCATTTAGTGTCCAAAGCTGACTGTTATGTGGAATTGCATCTGCCAACTGCATCACCTGTTATTTACCGAACTCAAGTTATTGACAACTCCAGTGATCCAGAATGGAATGAAACTTTTCAGTACAGGATACACGACGCAATCAAAGTAAAGGATTCCACTGTTGAAATGGAACAATAAGTAGAAGGGAAAAACTTATATTTATGGAAACCAAAAAAAGGCCTAATAGAAAATGATAGAATAGAAAATAGAACATATCGGTAGCCTCCAATACACTCCTCTGGCTTTGATCTCTTGTAACTTTTTTTCACATTCATTTTTCTGCTTCTTACTCTTGTTGCATGTCATGAATCATTATAACTAAGTCAGATAGTGCTAATAGATCAGGGCTACTCTTAAAAGCAGAAGAAAGAATCAGAATCAGAATTTGGCCTATTTATCACAGCAAAAATAAATCCTGTGTTATCCACACTTTTTCACCATCTCTTATTGGCATAATGATTTCAACTTTTATCTAAGTCCAAGTGCAAAACCACCTTACATAAGTGCAAAATCACCTAAACAAGGGAGAAGAATTTATAGCATATTGTGTCTTTTAGAAAAAAAATTAACAGAAAAGTTATTTAGGTTCACATTCTGATAGCATTATAGACTGTCATGATAGAATCAATTAACTTAAGACTTCAATTTTTGCTACAAACCAGAAAAAAACAAAACATTTTGCAAAGGACGACTTGCCTAGTTCACCTTTTTAAACATATTGTACCCTATTGCAGATAATCAGCTTGCCATACATTTAACATAGGAAAGCTTGCCTACTTCTAAATATAACCTATAATGCAGAAATTAAAACAATTATGATTTGTTTTCTTATTTTTATCCACTCCTACTTATCAAATTCTGTACCTGTGGAGTGGGATGACATATTAAAACATGTTCTATTAAAAAGCCCAAATCTATAACGGAGTATGTAAAACCTGCAATTTGTATATTTTTGAAACTCAAAACATTTTACTTTTTTTCTCCCTGAAGCATCATACTGTCCTGTCCTTAATGCACAACATTATTTATCTACTTGTTACCTTTTGCCCTGTTTCTTTCTTTTTTTTTTAGAACACTCTTGAACTGACTCTGTTTGATGAAGATGTTCTTATAAGTGATGAGCTTACTTCCGTCGTGTTTGATGTTACAGGGATTCAGGTCGGCCATTCACTGAAAAACACTTTCAAGCTAAAAGAGGTTAGGGGTTTTTTTGTTGCTCAGTGCATTAAAAAGTCAGGTTTAAACTTGATTTTGCTTCTGAATACTTAACATTGGCCATGACTAATGAATATTTTAATCATCACATTAGCTGTCTTCCTCCTGTTGCAGGGAGAAATTTATAGCTGAATAATATAATTTTTTTAATGAGTTTTGATGCTTGGAGGACCAAATGGGATCCCTCAATTTGAATGTTCATTTGCACTATTTGGAAATTATGGAGCCCTGCCTACAATTTTTTCCCCTAAACTCTCTATTATTGGTAGCTTTTGGGTTGACTTAATTTTCAAGGAATGTAAAACTGGAAACAACATCTTCTTTACTATGTGAAGTTTATTTGCACTTTTTATTAACTTTGCAATTGATATTGCATAATATATTTGGCAGACAAATGAAACTTCTGCTAGAATTTTTTTTTACTGAAACCTTATTTTATCAAATTTATTTTAATGTTTGGATCAGAGCAGCCTGTGAAAATTATGCAAATATATTCAGAATTATATCTAGTTCTTTAGTCCAATGTATTATTATTATTGTTGTTGTTGTTGTTGTTGTTAATCTTTGGTGAGATTCACAGCCTTTGAGGCTGGTTAATAGCTCAGCAGCTCGAGTCCTAACCAAAGGCCTAGGAACTGTAAGGTATCGTCGGAGGATGTAAGCTGTTCCGAGTAGGGTGGTTTTTTTGTAGAGTCAAAATGTTCAAGTCCGGTAAATTTAGAATTTCTAAATAGCGAGGTAGCCCTTTGGGTATTGCTATCCATGTTTTGCTGGCTCAGACTGATAGTAAGCTTCCATAATAGAGGTGTTTTCTTCCCTAGTCCAGATTTTTCACTTTTTGGGTTTTTCTTCCAGTAGCTTGTTAGCTCCATGCCCTGGTTGCCTAGCATAGGGAGCTGAGCCCTGTAACTCATTTTGCGTAGAATGCCCAGGAGCCATAGCATCCAACGGAACCCTTGTTAATCCGGGCGACGGTTCAGCAGGCATAAATTTCATTTTTTTTCGTATTCACCATGTTTGAATGGGTTGTGGAGCAAATTTTGTCTAGCTCTTCACCTAAGGTCTGTCTGATATGGTTGCACCTGTTCAGCATAGCCCTTAGGATCACTAGAGCACGCAAGCCCCTCCACCACGACAAGGTAGAGCTCCTCGGAGGGGTTATTATTATTATTATTATTATTATTATTATTATTATTATTATTTACATTTACTTTAGTCATTAAACATGAAACTCAGTCAACTGAACATTCAAAAATGCATCACAAATACCATTGACTGGTGCTAATGGTTGATACAGGTTGCTGCCAGCATCCTAGGTATCAACCAAGTACCTTCTTAAGATGTACGATGTTCCAAGTAGCGCAGTTTTTTGCAGTTCTGCTGGTGTTATTGTAGGAAGCTGCAATTTGTTGATGTGTCTTGTAAAATTATTATTATTATTATTATTATTATTATTATTATTATTATTATTATTTAAACATGAAACTCAGTCAACTGAACATTTAAAAATATGTCACAAATATGATTGACTGGTGCTAATGGTTGATATGGGTTTCTGCCAGCGTCCTAAGTATCAACCAAGTATCTTCTTAAAATATACAATGTTCCAAGTAGCACAATTTTTTGCAGTTCCAGTGGTGTTATTGCAGGAAGCTGCAATTTCTTGATGTGTTTTGTAAAATTCTTGGACATGGTACCAAGTGCCCCGATGACAATGGGCATCACTGTTACATGTTTCATCCATAATATCATCATCATCATCATCATCATCATCATTATTTAGTATATTAATATAATATCTATTTATCTCCAGGATAAGGAAGAATTGGATGTAGAATTTTTTATGGAGAAAAGGTAAGGACTGTTGTATTTTCTAGTCATGCAGTCTAGGGTTCTAAATTGGGAAGTGCTCTAATAAATTCATTTATGCCTTGCATCTAAAAGATTAATAGGACTAATTAATTTTGAGGTTTTTCAAGTCTCCTGTGGTTCCCCTCCCTCCTGAAAGGTTTTTAAGCACACAACCTTTATAAAATAGAATTGTGAAGTGATGCCACACTTGTAAACGAAAAGACAGATGTGTTACTTTATTGGATAGAAACAGTTTTTGTGCAGAAGAAGCTCCTGATATCAAATCAAAGTACCTTGTTGAAATAAATTGGCTTTATTTTGATCTTTGCCAAAACAGATTGGTGAAGCAAATCCTGACTGATCTGTACAGGCTTAATTAAAAAAAAAAATCAGTGTTTGCAAAGGAAAACTATAGGACACAAATGCTTATTAACAATACCATGATGTTGCCTGCGCATATAAAACTTTGTGAAAAGGATGAAGAAAAAATTACAGTTCTTTCCTCTTCAGAAGCAAAAATAAGCAGGATCTTAATTGCTTGTAAATGGCATAGGATTGCTATTGAGACATGTGAGTCTCCCCCCCCACCCCATGTTATTTTTTCTGGAGGAGAAATAAATAGATGATTGATCCATTCATAGAAAATAATCTTAAGGTGTCATTTCTGCTGATCCTCAATATGCAGTATTTGCAATTTTTTTTAAAAAAAATGTTAATGGCAAAATATCTGTAGGAAATTAAAGACTATAATTTTGGATTACAGTGTCTCTCATGTATTCTGGCTGGGACTTAATGGAGTTATCATTCATGGGAAACAACTATCATAATCTTAAGCAGTGGTGGGATTCAATTTTTTTTTACTACTGGTTCTGTAGGCGTGGCATGGCTTGGTGGGCAGGGGAAGGATACTGTAAAATCTCCATTTCCTCCCCCACTCCAGGGGAAGGATACTGCAAAATCCCCATTTCCTCCAGATCAGCTGGGATTTGGGAGGCAGAGAATAGATGGGGCAGGGCCAGCCAGAGGTGGTGTTTACCGGTTCTCCAAACTACTCAAAATTTCCACTACCGGTTCTCCAGAACTGGTCAGAACCTGCTGAATACCACCTCTGATATAAATTAAAGAGCTCAAAAAGTAACAGAATAATTCATGTAAAATATTTTCTTGCTGTTCATGGTAATACTTTTATATTCATAGTTCTGATCCTCCTGGTGAAATTATCACAAATGGGGTCCTGGTGGTAAGTCTCTAATAAATTGGAGTAGTGTCTACTTTATAATTATCATTTATTGTGGCATTATAAAGTTAGGGCTTGTAGTCTTGACAGTAGAATATTTCTCAAATTCAAAGCATTCTTCATCTGCTGCAGCTATTAAAATCTTTTGTCAAGCACTCTGAAATGTATAAAACTCATAGTAAGGGTATTTATTGTCATCAACAAAGGAAAACCTGTAATTTTAATAAAGTATAACAGAATAGTAAATTGATTACAAAAATCCTCTCCAGTTCTTTTATATCTCCACATAACCTCTTCTAGATTGATTTGTCTGTTCTGTAAAACTTCTGTGCTAATTTTTTTAAAAAAACCTTTGGGACATGATTTATTTGAATAGTCAGTTCTCTTAGAATGGCATCCTCATTAAGCTTCTCAACAGACTCAACTGCCACAAAACAGAAGATGAAAACCATTGCTCTATAAATGAATTTTCCAAGTAACTGAATTATATTTCATACAGACACAGAGGTAAATATCCTTTTCACTGAAGTGAATGTTATTTTAGTAGGCTTTTTCCAAATGGAAAACTTTGCATTGTGTTACCTGTGCCTGATAGCTATTTTTTTTTGAAGTGCAAAAAACATGAGAACAGTAAACATTATTTCCAGTGATCTTTAAATATAATTAATTAGCTAGCCAATGGAAAAACACACTTACTTTACATTCCCAAACATGACAATTCAAACTATTTTTTCTGCATTAATTATTCTAGAACTTAGTCGAATGGAGATCCAGTTTCCAAAACCAATATTCATTCCTAATTATTTCTTTCCACATAGGCTTATCCTTGCCTTTACTTGCAAGGGAGAATTAACAATGATCAAAATACAAAGATGAGAGAACAAGGTAGGTCTGTTTTGTTATATTTTTTTCTTTCCTCATAATTTTCTGATAAATAATTCATTATTCTGCTTGTATCTAGGAACTCAGTGAATTAATACAAGTGCAGGACTTTAAATGAAGGGAAATTCAAGTGTGGTGATTCTAAAAAAGAACAGTGGAATCAGATCAAATGAAGTATAATTTTATTGGTTACGTGGAGTTTTCTCAGACTAAAAGAAAGCAGAGGTGTGAATGAATGAAAATTAGAAGTATGCGTAAGAAAGAGAAAACAACTTGTGCTCAGTTAGTTTTGAGGATATGTGAAATTTTCTTTTGAATCAAAGTTATGTTTGTTTCAATGGGCTTCTTCTGCTTATATGTATGATGTAACTGGGCAAGTCTGGATGAATTTCTTCCCTAAAATTTCCATCATGTTGCTTCTCCCCCAATCTGTAAGATAGAGATGATTTTATTTTTCTATTTTACTTTGCATGGATGTGTGGTCTTCTTTGAGAATTTATTTTCCTTTCCAGTTGATGTATTCCCTCCGGTCCACCATTTAGGAATTAATGAAATGCTATATAAACATGGAAGAGAGATGTTAATCCATTTATTTGAGAGAAAACCTTAAAATTTACAAGTGTGATATTCTATTTTTTTTTATTATAATATTCTTAGACAGAAAAGTTAGTTAACAGAATTAGCTTCTAGCTTTAATTGAATTTAAATGATATTTCTTTATTTCAAACACAATGAACATTTTAATTCATAAGTCGTCAGTTATGTATTTTATGAATTAATGTTCTGTATAATGTAACAGAATGCCTCAGGAAGCCTTTCTCAATCTTTTTATCCTGAAGGAATATTATTTGAAATAATATTCAGGTTGCAGGGAACCCTGAATAGAAATTGCAAAAAAATATATATGAATACTTCATAGTACAATTTACTTCTTAACCTACTGTAGAATGTAAAAAATATTTTACAATTAGAAAAACAGCAAAGTGGCAGGCCAACAGCCAAGTTGTGTCTTGTAAAAATTCCCAATGTTGTGAGTGCTAACATTGCACAGTATGTAAAGTTTAAAAAAATGGGTTTTTTTCAGCAATTACAGTCTCATAAAACTCCTAGCCACCTCTTGTTGAATCCCAGCTGAAAATGCTGCTTCAGGTAATAGCACACCTATTCCACTTTTAGTGGAAACATTTAAACCAAACCAAGATGTGTCAGGGATGCATATTAATTAATGTAGACATAGGGCAGAATGTTTGACTAAATGATCTCCAAGGTCATTTTCCACTCATACATCTATGATTCTATGATCAACTAAGCAGAGATTAAGATCAGTTATACAATATACAATAACAGTGTGCCATTTTGCTCTTCCTTCTTTGGATTCCCTCCTGTTTATAGTCTATCCTTGTGGTGGAATATAGTCTGGATTCCCAGACTGGAGAGAGGGATTGCATTTAGATTGAGAGAGTTTGGTTGAGAGAAAGAGGGCAAGATATCTCCTCCCTAAATGTTTTTAGAGTATATCTTTAATGATGCAAGTAGTTGTTTTAGTTTGGCAAGATTTATGTCTATATATGGGGGACAATAAAGAAAACTACTCAAAAGAAATGTTGCATGTCTTTCTTGTTTTTGGAGTCTGACAATCCTGTTTTCCCCCTCAATTCTAAATTCTTACTGCCATTTCAGAAAGCAGTCAGTTCAGGCTTTCACTTCCTGGATCTTATGAGAAACGGTTAAGTGAGCCATGCAAGCCAAACTCCGATCAGTCCTGTGGGATCCCACTTGTCTTTCACATAGGCAAACAGATGTGCTCAGAATTGAGTGTGGAGCTGGAAAGAACTATTACAGTCCTTCAGGTGAGGAACAGACTGCACATTCAGTTTTTAGGATGCTTACAAATATGCTTTCTATATGAAATATGCTGTCTCTGTTTTCAGGATGGAGTGAGTCCTGAATTGGAAGAACACAGTACTGTTCTTGGATCAGGGACTATTCCACTGAATTTTCTACCTCTGGGAAAGGAAGTTGATATAACTGTACCACTTGGAAAGGTAACATTTTTTCTATTATAATATATTTCATAGATTCCACCACCTGGACAGCAATTCATTCATTTATCCATTTATCAAATTTATGTGACTTCGTTCCTTAACCAATATATTCTGGATGGTGAACAGGAAAAAAGACACAGTGAACAGACAAAATCAATAAAAAGCTTATTATTTTTTTTAAAAAAATATCTAACATCATAAAGCACACATAAATCTATTGGTCCCAGCCCCTGGGGAAAAGCTAGGTCAACAAAACCTTTTGTAAAATTAATTACTGAATCAGTGAGGTTCCCCCCCCTTGTAATCTCTTTCAGAATCTCTTGTCTTTCCTTTTAGGGACTAAGTGTGGATCTAAAAGTGAAAGCTGAAGAAATGTGAGTGAATCCTTCTTTGCAGATGGGTACTGGCTTGTACTTACAAACTTTCCTTGGACATTTCTTTGACTTCATTTTCAATTTTTTTGGGGGGGGGAATTATACCTGTAAATCAAAGAAAAGTTGCTAGGAGCCAAGCAACCTTTACATTTTTTTAAAAAAAATTGATTTATATGCCGCCCTTCTCCGGAGACACAGAGCAGCTTACAATGCATTAAGCAATAGCCTTTATACTTTTGTATATTTATACAAAGTCAGCTTATAGCCCCCACAAACTGGGTCCTCAATTTACCTACCTTAGAAAGGATGGAAGGCTGAGTCAACCTTGAGCCTGGGGAGATTCGAACATGCAGTAATTGCAGGCAGATGGATGTTAATAACAGGCTATTAGTCTATTAATATTAATTATTAATAGACTAATAATATTAATATTATTAATATTAGTCTATTAATTATTAAATAATATTTAATAATATTATTATTAAAATATATATGCATTTGTATTTAACTGAACACTAAAGATTTTGCAACAAAATTTCCCAATGTCACTTCTTTGCTTGTCAGGTAGATTTTTTGATAGATCAATAGATAGATCAATAGACAAATATTTATTTATTTATTTATTTATTTATTTATTTATTTATTTATTTATCAGCTAAGTGCTACTTAACAGCACTTTAGTCCACTGCGCTACCAAGGCGCTCTCTCCCTCTTTTCATTCTCTCTCTCTTTCTGATGTCCCATGTATATGCTTTTCACTTTGTTTTTTTCCGCCTTTTGAACATGGTCATGATTTAGTTTTAGAATTTTTAAACAAGACCTTTGGGCTTTTTGTCTTCTGATAATCCACAAAGTGGGATTTCCCATTTTGTTACTTGCATGTATTTTTGCTGCTTAAGAATCTTATCCAAAATGAAATCTTATTTCTAATAGTTTTGTTCATGATTCAGTCCAGTGGTGAAATCCAATTTTTTTACTACCCGTTCTGTGGGCCTGGCTTGGTGGGCGTGGTGTGGCTTGGTGGGTGTGGCTTGGTGGTGTGGCAGGGAAAGGATACTACAAAATCTCCATTCCCTCCCCACTCCAGGGGAAGGATATTGCAAAATCTTCATTCCCACCCCACTCTGGGACCAGCCAGAGGTGGTATTTGCCGGTTCTCCGAACTACTCAAATCTTCCGCTACCAGTTCTCCGAACTGCTCAAAATTTCGGCTACTGGTTCTCCAGAACCTGTCAGAACCTGCTGGATTTCACCCCTGATTCAGTCCCAAATAATTAAAGTTAGAATGATACACTGTAACACATTGCAATAGTTACTGTTAACTTGGAGTATTTGTTACTGTTGTTCTTTTATTAATAAACTAAAAAAGTTAATATGATTTCATTTGGTCTGACACAATGGAGGATTGGAGTGTATAAAGTCAGACTATTGCTTGATTCAGTTTACTATTGTCTATCAGCTGGATTTAGGAACAGGGATCTTTATTTATAACTTTCCCATTTCCTGAATTGAGAAATAATTGAGAGATCTTTCTCCAGTGTTACTGCATGGAGTATAAAACTTTTAAAATAGACATTCTCATTTCATTGCCTCTTTTTACCACTACTCTCTAAACTAGCACCAAGGATCTTGATGTCCGTCTTGGTTTTGATCTTTGTAAAGAAGAGCGAGAATTTTTGGAAAAAAGAAAGAAAATCGTATCTAAGGGACTAAACAGCATACTCAAATTGGGAGAGGACCTCAGTAATAATGAGGTATGTAACTTAATCAGAATTAGTGAAATATGTATACTGATTTATTATTAGATACAGTTTAAGTGAGACACTAGCTCTCAAAAATACTACCTTTTGTAAAAGTTCTTCAAAGATCTATCATACTATATTAATAAGAGGTGCATTCATTGAGTTTTACATAATAATTTGAGCTTTCTCCCCTCTCCTTTTTTCTTAAGGTACCTGTTGTAGCAGTCCTGGGATCTGGGGGAGGGGTAAGAGCACTGTCATCATTTTATGGAAGTTTGCTTGGTCTTCAGCAGCTAAATCTTCTGGATTCTATTACATATCTTTCTGGAATTTCTGGTTCTACATGGTATGTATCTATGGTAGGTATTTCGTATATTGAAACTATAATAACAACATATTGTTTTGATCTTTGGAGCATTTGCTAAAATCATGTTTCAACCTACTGCTTGAACAAGTACATAATTAGCCCAAAACTTAAGATTCTTACAATAATAATATTCCTTTTCTTGTCTGACTATTGTTTAGATATGCTCTTTTGGACTGCACAATTCTGTGCCTTTATATGCACCATCTGCCTCTCCTTGGGTGTGGAAAAGTTATTAATTTTCTTTGTTTTTATGTTTGTAACCCTATGAGATCTTTTGAAAACGCAGATTTTTCAAAATTTGGTTATCTTCCAATGATTCTTCTATATTTATTTTCTCATTTTAGAGGCCAATGGTATGACAGATAATATGGTGCCCATATTTATCATGTCAGATGGCATGACTGGGACAGCCCATAAATGGTATGAATCAGGGATGGGGAATTAATTTTCCCAAAGGGTCACATGAGAATCTGTGACTGATTTAGAGGACTGCTGCTCTGCCCCACCCCCACCCTCCGGTGCTGCTGCCCTGCTGCTGCTGTCACCTCTTACATATTTTGTATGTTATGAATATATCACAATTATAATATAAGTTATGAATATAGAGGGCTGGTAATACAACCATAGTTAGCCTTTTCATGAACTCACTGAGAAAGTTGCTGGAATGTGTGTTCTCCTGATAAAGAAAGATACTGAGTGTGTGTATGAATGATTTATTGTTGGTGATACCAGGTAGAACATCAGTAGGCATAGGAATATAGTGGGTTGCACTTTTCATGGAGTCATGGAACAGGGAGTAAGAATGTGAAGTTCCTGACAAGACAGGGGCAATATGTACCATGCACATGGATTCAGGGTAAACAAGCTGAGTATAAAGAGAAAACTGGAATAAACTCAGACCCCTGAAGTTCGAGATGACTCTTGTTGGAGCAGGGGACGCTCTGAGTCTGCTTCTCAGCCTACTCTAACACAGCCTGATCACCTGTATTGAGAGTGTTTGTGAGTACTGAGTGTGAATGTGTAGCCTAATTGGGCAACAATACTTAACATCAAGTTGAGTAGCCTTGTTGAACACAGTAACCTGAATAGCCTTGTGGAGCCTTCTTGGAACTGTTGAAAGACATCCTCTATCTCCAGTCCACAACAAAATCTTCAACAAGAAGGCTCCACAGCCATTTGAACTACTCAGGTGACCCCGACAACACAAATAGGCCTCCAGGTGGCCTCAACAACGCTCTAAAGAATGCAAATGACCAGCTGTCTGCAAGGAGTATAAATCCTTCCATTCCCCACCATCCAGTCAGAGCTGAAGATGGATGAGAAGCGAAATGTCTTCAAAGAAAAAACAGAAAGTCCAGTTGCCTCTTGAAAAAGCACCTTTGGGACAATAAGACATGGGGATTTTTTCCCCTTCTTATGAGAAATTTTGGACTTGGGAAACAGGTTTTCAGTTACACTTAAATCATTTTCCTGCACTGTTTCAGAGTGTACCCATCTAATACTAAAGATCCAAATAAAAATAACAACAACAAAAAAATCACCCCTTAATGTCAATCAGACCTGGCAGGGACATTGTATAGTAAAAATGGAGTCACAGATATTTTTCAGAAGCTCAGTAGTAAACAAAGCAAATATAGGTATACCAACAAAAAGTTAAAATAGTTGTCTGGATTAATTTTATTTCCTCTTAAGAATCTTAGGAGTAGCCTTTCAGCTTGGACATTACTCTTCAGGAATTTTTGTTTTTTTAAAAGGCATTTGTATCTCTCCAGGATTTCTATTTTTATCTATTAAATAGCTAAGCTCAATGTTGTTGTATTGAATTTGTCATCAAACTTTTTGTAGGTGTTTATCAGTATTGTATCAGGACCACGAATGGTCACAGAAGGATCTCAAGCATCCAATCAGCAATGCCCAGGATAAAATATCCAGCAGTAAAGTAGCAGCTTTTTCCTCAGAGCATATGAAGTACTATTTCCAGGAACTGAATGCTATGGAAAATGCTGGGCGGAAGGTATCTTTCACCGATCTGTGGGGCCTTATTATTGAGTACTTCCTGCAACAGAAGGTGAGACTTATAAATTTGGAATCTTTATTATTTACCTTCTTAGAAGCCTTAGTGTTTTAAATTCCTTCAGATTTGTTCCTGCTTGAACCATACTAATACTCTTTTCTCCTTGAAATCCTAAAACAAACAGAGATTCTAGTAATTGCTTATTTTAAAAACACTAATCTCAAGTATCAGTCCAATTCTGAATTGAATGTTTAGATGATTGAAGGCAGGATATAGAACATGAATAGGGGGAAAAAACAGCTTTTGCCTTGGACTGTGTTTCTTTTTTTGAGGCAAGACTTGGTCTCTACATGCCCAAAGAGGATAGAACAAGACAGATGGAACAAGGCTTCCTCTTTGAGCACTGCCTGTTGAAAAGCTGCAGATTTTCATTAAACACATTTTGCTGCTTTACTTATAAATGTAGAGAATATTGCAAAGCCACTGCTAACTCTCCAGACACTTTTTCGGTCTAAAGGAATATTAATAGAGAACTGTGGCTTTCTATCTAAATCCAAACAAGTGCTCACCATTAGTTGAGAAGAGTCCTGTGCAGAGGCACTATTATGAGCAATAAATCACTTTAATTGGACCTTCATGTCTGGACCTGATCTTTTATGCCTGACAATAGCCATCTAATCAGTAGGAACATATTGGGTGTAACTTGTTCTCTTATTGAGAATGTAGGTGTCTAATATGTATGCATAAGGCATGAGCTCTAACTTCACTGCAAAAATGATATATCATGTGATTCATTTCTTTTGTTTAGGAAGACCAGTCAAAATTGTCTGATCAGCAGGAAGCGGTGAAATATGGGCAGAATCCCTACCCAATCTACGCAGCTGTAAATGTGAGGCCCAATATTCGTGGTGATGACTTTGCAGGTATAATAAGGCAGGTGTATTTCTTTCTTATAAAATCTGGGGCAGATTTTATCTTCTAGGACAGAGCTGTCAAACGCATGGCCCGTGGGCCCGATGCGTCATGTGCTGGCCACTCCCATGCCCGGTTTAGTGAAGGGGGGAAAAGTCACGATACGTCATGTGACGCTGCTATGATGACGCGAGTTTGACACCCCTGTTCTAGGATGTCTTTAGAATTAGCAGTTTTGTAGCAGCTGCACAATATTGCAAAGTGGCCCTGCTATATAATTTTTATTTTTGGCTTGAATGGGAACATGATGATTTTGCTTAATGTTTTCAGTATGCTGGTGTTTTTCTTTTTAGAGTGGTGTGAGTTCACACCATATGAAGTTGGATTCCGCAAATATGGTGCTTTTATTCGAACAGAAGATTTTGATAGTGAGTTTTTCATGGGACGGCTGATTAAGAAGCATCCTGAGCCCAGGATCTGCTATTTGCAGGGTACGTATTTCAGAGTTTACTGTACTTAATCCAAAGGCAAATATATTCATAAAGCTTTCTTATAAAGCTTTACTTCTAGCTCAGAGGAGTTTTATTGAATAACTTTTTCCAGGATTAGATCAAACTTCAAATTGAAAAAAAAAAACCTTTGCAGATCATATTGTCAATGATACAGATTTACTTGCTATTAAACTTATTTTATTATGGGCATTGTAACAAAGAATCCTCTGACAATATGGTCTTATCTGCATATCTGATGATATTATATTGTATGTTGATCTTTTATAGGTGGGTGAATTCATGATTCTTTTTGAGAGTTGGCAGGAAGTGTCTCTTCTAGCTCTATAATTGAAAGATTAACGTTCTGTGAGGCTTAGCCTTAGAAATACTTATCAATATATCTAGCATATCCTTGGCCAATTGACATTCTGTATCCCTTCTTCATTTATCCCTAAATGATATTTTTTAGTCTTGAGCTAGGTTCATACACAGCATTAAGTCATGATGTGGTTTATTTTATTTCATCTTATAAATAAGCCATAGTTAAAATAAACCATGGGTTAGTATAGTGTGTGGAAACTAGCATGATATTAAAATCTGAAGGCTGAACTCATTTTAACTATAGCCTCTGAATACTTTTAGCACTTCACCAGCTATTATAAATGATCCTTCATCACCCTGCTAAATTTAAACAAACTAGAAATCATTTTTCACATTTCCACATTGTTTTATAACAGCACAATAGCCACATGTTTCTAATGGCCAGAATAGCAAATAGATGCTATGTTTGAGAATAAAAACAATTTGTTTGAAGCAGAAGTTTCATCTCAAGCACTAGTGAAACTTGCACAAAGTATTTCTTATTTGATTTTAAAACTGTCCTTTATTAAAGAAAATAAAATCCAATATATGAAGCTGATGAGAGTTGTAATTCCAACATTTGGAGAATGAAATTGAGGAAGGGTTATAAAATTATACAGCTGTCAGGGGTAAACCTCAGATTGAAATTAATTTTTATATCACTTTTTTAAAGCTTGAATGTTTCACTGTTAATAATAATAGCTATTGGCAGACTTTTTGCTATCTCTTAATTGAAATAATACAGCATATTTTAGACAGAAAGTGTAATCTGTATTTATTTTTGAAGTGTAAACATGGTACACTAAGATACATAATCTTTTAAAGTAACCAAGCAGCTAGTTACATCCAGTGTCAGCCATTAAAAGTATCTTTACAGTCAATTACTGAAAGCACAATGTATTATAATCTTTTTGTTAGTTTATCTCTGTTCCTTTGAAATAACCTTGCATGCTAACTCTTGAAGCTACAGAAGGATATAGGATACATTAAATTAAAGTCTAGTTCACAGCACCACTTACAACATGCCTAGGTTCAAACACTGTTTTGTGTACTCTACAGGGATGTGGGGAAGTGCCTTTGCTGCTAGTTTGGACGATGTCTGTCTGAAGGTAGTTGGCTCAGGATTCAGCTTTCTGGAAACATTGGGAGATGTAATCAAAGTAATTGGTAAATAAGGCCAATTTACATACTAATTAATACTGTAATGCTAGATTTTATTTTTTGGTGTGTGAACTTTTTCATAACTATGACTTTGCCATGGACATGGGCTTATGTGAATGATCCAAGCAGAGTGAAGGCATATACCTATGAAATAGCTAGCCCTTCCTTTCTGTCAAGTAATCCAAATGGAACTTGCTCCCACCTAAGCAGTTCTGGGCTTATGATTTTTAGAAGAACAGAACTGCTGCTCTAAATAATTGCTCCCATGTTTGTTTTCTAACAATTGTTTGTTTATTTCTTATCCCACCTTTATTATTTTTATAAATAATTCAACATAATAATAACTCAAGAACATACCTAATACTCCTTCCTTCTCCTATTTACCTCACAACAATAACCCTATGAGGTGAGTTGGGTTGAGCGACATTGACTGGCCCAAAGTTACCCAGCTGGTTTTGAGGAATTCACAGTCTCCTGAATTCTAGCCTGATGGCTTAATCACTAGATGAAACTGTTAATTTTGTTTCTCTTTATTTAATATAATTCTTGAAAAACGGCTCCTCCTTCTACCCTTTTACCTCTAAATCCCCACCCCCATCCATGCTACCCAATACACAGCTGAAAGCGGACATGTTCATTATTTATTCTTCACTATTTCTGAGGAGAAGTTTTCTTTCTTGAATTTTGGGGTTATAATTTTGGGTCATGTTTTTCTCCCATTTTACCTCTCAGAGGACTTTTACTCCTTTTTTTTTTTTTTTTACAATTGGTCAAAGTTTGTATGTGTGTTGGGGGGAATGTTTAAAATTTGATTCCAACTCTTAAGCTGCTTGGGGAAAGGTATTGCCTACCTAAACCCAGAAATTGCTGATCCCTGCTTATGTGGATGACAATGGCAATAACAATAGCACTTAGCTTCACAGTATTTTACAGCCCTCTCTAAGCAGTTTATAGAATCAGCCTATTGCCCCCAACAATCTGGGTTCCCCATTTTACCAATCTTGGAAGGATGGAAGGCTGAGTCAATCTTGAACCGGTCAGGATCAAACCCAGAAATTGCCGATCCCTACTTATGTGGATGATGCAGCTAAAATCCAGTTGTTGCAGTCCCTCATAAAAATCCTCATGTTAGTTCAGTATATATGTTGCTTTTCTATCAGCTTTCTCAGTACTACGAGGAATGTATCTTATTCAACAATAAGAATATATTGTTTTTTGTAACAATAAATACATGTGTTAATAATAAATTAATACATTTTAGTAAGATATTCAATAATATGGATTTTATATCCCAGAGTAGCCTTTAGCTTTGATTCTTCTTAGAATCAGATCTAAGCTTAGTGGATCTGCTAAACTTTCAAGTCCAGATGAGATCAGAAAATGATTTGCTCACCAAAATCAGTATAAAGGACCAAAAAATGAACCTAGTGTTCATAATAGTTGAAATACTTGATTAATTATTAATCTCTCATAGGGTAGATGCAATAAGTAGATTTGAACTGTTTAACCATATTTGGTATTGTCCGTGATTGCAGATGACAGTCGACGATCTCATTTCCGGGATCCTATGAGGTTGAAGACACGTCTGGTTATACCAGGTGGACCCTTACTACAGATTTTCCAGGACTTCTTCAAGTCTCGTGTAACTGCTGGTGAAACATTTAATTTCATGCAAGGTTTATACCTCCACAGAGATTATATCAGTTTCAAAAAGTTTGTTATCTCAAAAGGTAATTTTGGAAGCCTCCATAGATTTGTGGTGTAAAAATTATGTTTTGGGTATATTTGTGTATAAATGGGAGGAAGAGAGCAATCTGAATAACACAAGGTTTTCAAATTAAATATGTAATACATGCACATTAGGCAAATCATCTTATTAATGAGATAATTAGATATAAAATTTAGCCAGTTACGCCATCCGAATATAAATAACTTTCATTCAGTTCCAAAATATTTTAGATTACATAGAAAGTTGTAGTTTTTGTCCCATTTCATTGATAAGACTGAAGTATATTGCTTTTTCTCCACTCCAGAAACACACTTAGATGCTTTTCCTAACATGTTGACTCCAATGGAAGACAATCTTTACTTAGTAGACGGTGGTTTTTCTATCAATTCTCCCTTTCCATTGCTAATTCAGCCAGAAAGAGATGTTGACGTGATTTTATCATTTAATTATTCTTGGGAAGCACCATTTGAGGTAAGATACATAAGTACAAAGGGAATTTTTTTTTGCTATGGTCTCGCTGTGAAATTTCCATCCATACCAAGGTGTTTCATCTCAAGGTCCAGCTTCCTTCAAGATACTAATTTTACTTTATATGTATGTTAAGTTGTGTTAAAGTTAGTACATGTAGCCCTCGACTTACAACAGTCATTTAATGATTGTTCAAAGTTACAACAGCACTGAAAAAAGTGACTTATGACCATTTTTCACAGTTATGACCTCTCCAGCATCCTCATGATCATGTGATAAAAATTCAGATGCTTGGCAACTAGTTCATATTTATGACTGTTGCTGTATCCCAAGGTCATGTGATCACCTTTTGCAACCTTCTGACAAGCAGAGTCAACGGGGAAGCCAGATTCACTTAACAACCAAGTTACCAGCTTATCAACAGTGATTCATTTAACAATTGAGGCAAGAAAAGTTGTAAAATGGGCAAAATTCACAGCAAAAGTCTCATTTAACAACAGAAATTTTAAGCTCAGTTATGGTCATGTCAAGGACTATGTGTGTATGTGTGTGTATATATGTATTTTTCTCTCAGCCAGGTTTTTTCCTACGTAAATCAAGATCTTTATACAGCCATAGTTCAGTGAAATCCCATTCACTAGTTTCTAGGCTTTATCAGACATCAAAACAGCATTTTGCTGTCTATTGGGAGACTAAATATATATATTTATTTATTGGATTTGTATGCCGCCCTTCTCCCTTCTCTTTCTAGCCAGATTTTACCTACGTAAACTAGGTTGTTCTGCGGCCCTGGTTCTGCAACTCTGTGTTGCTCTCTGGGAGACTGTTTTCACTGACGACGCCTTAAAAGGCAGAAATAGCTATCTGAAAGAATATGCACATAAAAGCCTACGAAAAAGAAAAAGACACATTGTACCTTTACAGGGGGAATATCTGAGAAGTGGGTGTGGCTCACTGACGACGCCTTAAAAGGCAGAAATAGCTATCTGAGTCTCCCAGAGAGCAACACAGAGTTGCAGTTTGTCAACAAAAAAAAAGCCCAGAAGCTTGTGAATGAGATTTCACAGAACCAGGGCCGCAGAACAACCTAGTTTACGTAGGTAAAACCTGGCTAGAAAGAATATGCACATAAAAGCCTACGAAAAAGAAAGACATATATATATATGTCTTTATATATATATAAACTTTTTGAGTTGCACTTATTTTTTCAAAAAAATCTTAATTGAACACCGCAAGAAAAATATATAAATAGGAAAAAAAAAACGCTGTTTATAAGAGAAAAGAGTAGCATTAGGTGAATAAATCCAAAATATAAGGGTATCATTAAAGACATATTTTTCAGTATTTCATGGAGTGATTAAAAGTATATTATACTGGAGGGAAAGGATGGGTATTTTTACTGTTTTAAAAACCTGAAAATTACTATTAAACTGTAATCATAATACAAGTATCAGGAATAGTGGATGATAAATTACGTCCATTGTACTAATTTAATTTTTTAATAATAATATTTATAATATACTTTTAATTAATTTTCTAAATTAAGGAGTCTCATAAAACCAAGATATTAAGACTTCTAGAGAGCAACCCAAATTTTGAATGTGGTAGAAATCCATCTATTAAATGGCTTCCAACTTAAATTAAATTCTGTTAAGATGCAGAGGTGTTCAAGACATTGAAGTCTAGTTCCACAATTTAGCCATTCTTCCTGCCCAGTAAGATGCATAAAGTATTTTGTAGCAATGGACATGTACATAGCTGGTTCAGTATACTTTGTAGGAATATATGGTTTAATGAAACTTATTAAGAACATTGCAGATTTTAAAAAGACTTTAATAATTATTTAAAAACCGCATGACTACAGATCTTGGAGTTAACTGAAAAATACTGTAGAGAACGAGACATCCCTTTTCCACAAATAATTTTTAATAAAGAAGATGAAGAAAGTCCTAAGGAATGTTACCTGTTTATGGATGCTGAGAACCCAAAGGCTCCCATCGTCCTTCACTTCCCACTGGTTAATGATACATTCCGTAAATACAAAATGCCAGGTATGAAATTTTTAAATTTTTAATGTATCTTTGCACTTTGATATGGCCCAAGGGCTAATCAATAAAATTAATGTAATGTAATGTAATGTAATGTATCTTGCTATAAATTATAGCAGAATGTTAGTTTGGTTGAATATTTTGACATTGATTTTGTCATAAATTTGTTGTACAAAACTTCAAAAGCTCTCTGTTTGGATGAAGAAATAAACTGGGTATCATCACAGTATTTTTTTATAAAGTTGCAAATTTGCAAATCAAATCCAAGTAGAAGATTATTCTTATGTAATAAGACTAATTTTACAAACACACACAAATGTGTTATTAAATCTTATTAAATCTTTTTTTTTATTTGATTTATATGCCACCCTTCTCCGGAGATTCAGGGCGGCTTACAATGCGTTAAGCAATAGCCTTCATACTTTTGTATATTTTATACAAAGTCAGTTTATTGCCCCCACAATCTGGGTCTTCATTTTACCTATCTTAGAAAGGATGGAAGGCTGAGTCAACCTTGAGCCTGGTGAGATTTGAACTTGCAGTAATTGCAGGCAGCTGATGTTAATATATGTATGTATGTATGTATGTATGTATGTAGGTAGGTAGGTAGGTAGGTAGGTCGGTCTTTGGTTATTCGGGTTTTCTCCCGCGTAAAATTGGAAGTGTCTTGGTGATGTTTCGATGAAGTCTCATTCATCATCTTCAGGCTGGTGTTTTCAGCTTCGTGCTTCTAGGAGCAATGTGTGATCGCAGCTGTTTTTTCCTTTTAACTGCCACTGGGGGTGTGAACTGATTGGGTGGGAGCTTGGCTGTGTTCTGATTGGGTGGAGGTGTGTTCTGATTGGTTGGGGGTTTGGCTGTGCTCTGATTGGATGGGGGGTTGGCTGTGCTCTGATTGGATGGGGATGTGTTCTGTTTAGGTGGGGGCTTGGTTGTGCTCGGGTTAGTCTGAGTTGCAGGGGGATTTGAGCTGGTGAGCTGCGTTGCTGTTGCTTGGCTTCACGTTCGTGGTCGTGCCACATCTTCCTGGTGGATGTCAGTTTGCTTCATGTATGGATTGGAGGGGTTTAAAGTGGCTAATGATGCAGCTGTGGTCTGGCTTCTGGTTTCTGGTCGTGCCTCATTGGTGTGGGTTTGCTTTTTGCGTGGATGTGTGGTGGTGACATCCTGTGTGGTTTTCGTGAGTGTGGGTCTGGTGTCATTCTTTATATTAGGGACTCGTTTGTCAATGAGTGCGGGTTTCCAAATGGCTGGTAGGCGGGAGGTATCATCTCGTTTATTCATGCTGTGTGGGCATTTTTCTATCTCGATGGCTTCTCTGATTATTCTGTTGTTAAAGTGTTCAGTTTTGGCGATAGTTCTGGTCTTTTTAAAGTCAATATCATGTCCTGTGGCTTTAAGGTGTTGGACCAGGGAAAAAGTTGGTTCCTCTTTTCTGACTGAGTTCTTGTGTTCTTCAATGCGTGCACTTATTCTTCTGTTGGTTTGTCCGATGTATGTGGTGGGGCAGGCGGTGCATGGGATTTCATATATTCTTTGATTTTCTAACTCAATTTTGTCTTTGGGGTTTCTTAGGATGGTGGATATTTTTTGGTTTGTGCAGAATGCTGTCTTGATGTTGTGTTTGTGGAGGATCTTGCTGATTCTGTCTGGTGCCTTTTATGTATGGGAGGAGGGCTTTGCCGTTTTCTTGTTCTCTGTCTTGGATTTTAGTGGGAGTTTCTTTTTGGATTATGTTGGTGATTTTATCTCTTTGGAATCCGTTGGATGTTAGTACGTTAGTGAGAGTGTGTAGTTCGGTTTTTAGGTGTTGTTTGTCAGCTAAGCATTTTGTTCTGGAGATGAGTGTCTTGGCTACGGAGTTGATCTGTGCTGAGTGGTGGTATGAGAGTGTGTGCAGATAGCGGTTTGTGTGTGTTTTCTTCTGGTAGATGGTGTGTCCTAGGGAGCCATTGGATTTCTTGTAGACTAAGACATCCAGGAAGGGAAGTTGATTATTAGCTTCTGTGTCCATGGTGAACTGTATTTTGGGGTGTACGCTATTGAGGTGTGTGAGGAAGTTGTCCAGTTTTTCTTTCCTGTGTGGTCAGATTATGAAGGTGTCATCAACGTATCTGAGCCAGAGTTTGGGTTTGTGATCAGAGTTTTCTAGAGCTTGGGTTTCAAAGTGTTCCATGTAGAGGTTTGCAATGACATGTGAGAGGGGTGATCCCATGGGTGCTCCTTCTATTTGTTTGTATTTTTTTCTGTTATAGATGAAGTATGTGTTGGATAGGCAGTGGTTGGTCAGATCTAGGATGTGCTTGTGGGGGTTATATTTGTTTTGAATAGCTGTCAAGGCTTCTTTGATTGGCACTTGGGTGAAGAGGGATATGACATCGAAGCTCACGAGTAGGTCGCTGGGCTGTAAGTTTTGTTTCTTTATGATCTCTATGATCTGGAATGAGTTTTTTACGTGTGAGGTGATGGATTCTGCATAGGGCTGTAGTTGTTTGGTGAGAAATTTGGCTAGGTTTTGTAGAGGTGAGCCTATGGAGCTGACTATGGGTCTAAGTGGGGTTCCTTCTTTGTGTATCTTGGGAAGACCATAGAGCTTAGGGCATCTGGATGATTTCTCTCTGGGAATGATTCTTTGCTGGATCTCTTCGCTGATGGGGGAGGCTTTTATTTTGGATCTAGTGGTGGTGGATCTGTGTTTAGGGGTTTTTATGTGGAGTCTTGGAATAGGTTAGTTAATTTGGTTTGGTAGTCAGATGTGTTCACCTCTACAAAACCTAGCCAAATTTCTCGCTAAACAACTACAGCGAAAACCTCAGAAAACACACATATATATAAATAAGGCTCTCATAACAATCCCCTATATGCTGATTATGGATTTAATATTTCAGCTGTTAATTAATGAGATGGTATATCATATAGCCATGATGGTGAACCTATGGCGTATCAGTGGGCACGCAAGCTCAGTTCTGCCAGCTGATTTTCGGGTCTTCTGGGCCCATCAGAAGTAGGGAAACGGGCTGTTTTCAGCCTCCGGAGAACTTCCAGGGGGATGGGGAAGGCCGTTTTCGCCCTCCCCAAAGTCCTAGAGAGGCCCTGGAGCCAGGTGAGAAAGAAAAATGGGCCTACTGGGCCATTGCGTGCCAGGAGTGCGGGGAGTGGGGGGGGGTTGTGCGCACAGGGTTGGGGCGAATAGAATTATGGGTGTGGCCACACACGCATGCGACCCTCCCCCGTTCCCCCCTCCTGGCACCTGATAGCAAAAAGGTTAGCCATCACTGTCATATAGTCATGCTGGCCACATGATCATGAAAGTGTCTTTGGATGATGCTGGTTCCCTCCGCTATGAATCAGAGATGAGCACCGCTTCATTGTGTTGGACACAACAGAAGAGGGAAACTTTTATCTTTTTTAGTTAATTAATGAGATGTTGCAAAGCAAAGCAACATCTTCCAATTTTTGATGTTCAATTGATATTGGAGTGTAGCCCCCATGATCCCATTTTCACTATGCTGATTGGAAATGAAAATGGTAGTTCAATATTTGGGGAATTGAGGTGATGAAAGGATGCTCTAAAAGTACCAGTATTTGCACATTATAAAGAATCTATCCCATATATCTTTTAACATTGTGAACAAATTTGTTCTATAAAGCAGAACCATGTATGGGACATGGGGGAATTGCTTCCTTACAAATAATGATGTTAAAGAGATTTTTCACAGGGGTTTTTTATAAACGAAATGTACTTGTACTGTGCTTTAATCAGGCACATCATTGTCTTGTTCCACTTGGATTAAACATGGTTGTGCATTGAATGATAGATCTAAGCATTGATAGTATCCCCATCTCAGAGCAAAGCTAACATTTAATGCTCACAGAGTATATATTCTTCCCTCCATTATTTACAGGGATAGAACGTGAATCAGAAGAGGAAAAGACTTTTGCTGATTTTCAAATCGAAGGAAAAGATTCACCATACAGGACATTCAACTTTACCTACACATCTGATGAATTTGACAGACTAGTACAATTGAATTGCTATAATGTCCTTAACAACATGGATGCTATTTTGAAAGCGTTAAAACTGGGTTTAAGCAAACGAAAACAAAAAGCAGGACCTAAGTGCTTCTTTGAATACTTACTGTGAATGAATTTTGGTTCTTTATGGAAGATTGAAGAAGGCCTAACAAACTTTAAAAAATATCCTTTTATGGAAATTGCAGATTTATTTATTCCATTGGAATAAAGGGTGCTTTTATATATTGAAGAAAATCCAGAGACATATTATGTCAGCTGCAGTTAATTACTGGGTAGATGTACAAGTGAATTTGTTAACCATAGTTTGTTTAAAAATCTTCTAGAAGTTCATTTAAGATATTTTTTTACTCGTGTGATCTATGGAGTCTTGTTTTTTTAATGAATTGGGAGTTAAACTCTAATGAAAAAGTTTCTGGTTCCCTGAGCTTCCCATGTTCAAAATATGAAGAAAACTAGGTACTGAATTAAATTCATTTTTGATTTTATAAATGAAAAAGCTTCTTCCAAAAGTTACCTTTCCCCCCTCCCAAGATGGTAGAGGCAGTCTTCTAGCTGAACCCTACGACTTATGTTTTTTAATTAAGAAAGAGTAGAAATATATTTTGTTTTATTTATCTCAGAAGTTATATTTTGGTATAAAGCTATATTTATTAAAAACATTAGCTTTCATTGCCCACTCTTATATAGGTAGATATCTCCTGAGACAATGATGTGACATGGGTGGGGTGGAGGGAAAGAAGAAAAGTTTGCAGTCTAGCTTTGGACAAACCAACCTAAGAAAAGCCTTGAAACAGTTATAAATTGATTTGGTTCCAGAACAGGACTGTGTGCCATTAAGGATAAAGAGAAAATGGACTAGCAAGACCCTATTTGAAAAACAGAAAGGCTGTGCTGAAGATTGCATGCATTTCTGTTATTTTTCCTGTGAGGGAAAAGTAATTCTTTAGTAGGAAGAAGAAGAAAAAATGTTATTTGAATTAAAAGTTTTACTCTTTACTGTATATTTTGTTTAAGGCAGTTTTAATGGTTAGCAAATCCTGTGAAACTATGACTAATCAAATTATGATTGTGATTTGTGGAGATGCTATTTATGTCAGATTAAGGAATACAATTAGTATTCTTTGAAGATGGAAATCTTTCAAACATTCATCCTATCAAGTGTAATTTTACAGGTGATTATTTTAACCAATTTTTGATTTTTAAGCCATTGGGAAAAAAATCTTGACACTTTTCTTGAAATTACAGGAATTGACGATTTTGCTTTTCATAAGAAGCCTTATTTTGTGTTTTCCACAAAGATTTGTTCATTTTGTTACTGAAACAATACTTTTGCTACATAATAAAATTATTTTTTTATATGCCAAATTGTAATTGTGAACATTTGGTGAACTTGAATTTTCATTCAGTGGATTTATGTCAGAGTTGTACAGTCTGAAACCTTAATCCTGCAAGTGGTTTGAGGGCAATGTATTAAATACTTCTGGAGTGTGATTATGCTAATTATATTTGATTTTCATTAAATGTAAATCAGATTTTGTTTTTGTCTGGGTTCCACCCAATAGATTTTGGAATAAGGCTCCCAGCAAACCAATCACAAGCCAAGTGAATATTTTTTCACTGAGATAAGGCTGAGCATCCTTGATGTATTTTGAAAACTATCCTAACCAGGGGTGAAATCCAGCAGGTTCTGACAGGTTCTGGAGAACCGGCAAATATCACCTCTGGCTGGCCCCAGAGTGGGGTGGGAATGGAGATTTTGCAGTATCCTTCCCCTGCCACGCCCACCAAGCCATGCCCACCAAGCCACACCATGCCCACCAAGCCACGCCCACAGAACCGGTAGTAAAAAAAAAATTGAATTCCACCACTGAACCTAACTGCAGCTTTTAATGACTGTATTCACTTTTGTCAATAACAGACATTACTGTTCAGGTATGTTGGCCTGCGACCCAGACAGATTTGGGCACCTGAGGCTGTGGGCAAATACCCTTTTTACCAGTAGTCAATGAATGGTTTGACTTGGTTAATCTTAAATTGGAACAAGCAGACAGTTAATGCAAAAAAATGAAAAATATATAAAATAAACTTTAATAATTAAAACTGGGGGAGGGACACTTTTTACACTGCCGTGCTACACATTTCTCCATCCATTCACGAGTTGGCAGAAAACTATAGCAACATGGATTCATTGCTTGTGTTGCCAGTTCTATCCGGCATGTATTGTTTTTATTCTGACACAGTCCTGGCTCCTGCCTGCTCCCTAAATATGTTCCATGCCCCAGGGACTTGTAATTCAAGAACCAGTTTCCCTTCAGTCAGGAAGAACATGGTCTGTATTGAATCTCACTAGTGACCTGTCAGGGAATTTAATAGGTGTGGCAACTGCTAACCACAACAAGAGAACAACAGCAAAATAATATGTTCTCAGATGCCATCATATGTTTTACTTATTCCAGCCAACTGTTTTGCCTTCTTGGGTGTGAATTTATTCATTTTTATGCATTTAAATATTCACATTGTCTTTAAGCGTTTATGCAGTTTTATTTATACAGTTCTTTGTAGCTTACCCTATTCAACAAAGGATACAAATTAATTTACAGTCAAACAAAATAGTCAAACAAAATACTTCATCAGATCCCAACCCTTCTCACTTCTTGCAGAGTAGGGATACTCAGAAGACCTGTCTTCAGTGATTGGATGGAGTAAGTAAAAAATTGAATGGAAAAAATGTTCCCATTGAAACCCTAGTGCCCATCCATTCAGGGCTTTAAAAGCGATTAGTCTAAAGTAGGACGTAAAGTGAGATTTGGATATAAGAGTGAAATGATACGGGGTTGGATTGGATGACCTCTGAAGATCCTTTCACCTAGATATTGTAAGAGACATTTTCTGAGTTCAAACTGTCAAACCACAGAGTTAGCTAGCTTTCTCACTTCTCTGTCTAAGCGCAGAAGCTAAAACCACATAAGTCAATATGAAACTAGTATTTCCTGCATGTCTCAGACACAAGATATAATCAGCTTTTCTGCTCAGCAATAAGGGGCCTAGCCAATAGGAATGATCTAACATATTTCCGTATTTTGCTGCTTTTGAAGACTATAAGAATGTGTTGTCTTAATCAGAACGTGGTTCAGATGTTAGATGGTTATCTTTTCTGTCTGAACCTTTGGCCAAAATAAAGCTTCTCTTGATCTCGAAGTCCGAGTCCTTTGATTTTCTGCAACAAATCTGTTTTATGATAATGCTTCTGTCATAAAATGCTTCGTAACATTTGCCAAATTTCAATTCTAAGCAAGTAATGAGTCCCAGATTTTGGACACAATCTGTAAATTAGCCCATTCGAGGTATCTTGGTTCAAAATGTTTTGCTCTAAAGGTACATTGTTTTGCCCAATGAAAGATGACAAGAATCAGAGTATTAATAGTATATAGTTTATCAGCATCTTGAATTAGACTCAGAATCAGAATCTGCCAATGCAGGATCTTCAGTATGTAATAACTGCTGAATCTGTTCATTCTAGTTAACAGACAACCTTGCATTTTGGGTCTATTTAAATTCCAAGTCATCTTCAAGGGGAGTGCCCATGTAAAGTACATTACTCTCAGTTTTGCAAAGTAATCCAGACAAGAAGCCTGCCCAGATGAACTACCGGTAATTCTACTCTATTCTAAAGTTATATTAACAAAATCTTTCAAGCCTGTAAGTACATTTCTCCCCTATCACCTTTCTACCCAAGGGACTAGGTAGGGTCCCTTCTGAAACATTTGTCAAGCCCAGATTCCTGCTACAGGTTAATCTGCCTCTTATCTGAGGTTCCTGTGGCTCTGGCTCTTTCGTCTGTCTCCCAAGATCATCCCCACGTATTACAATTACAGTGGTATGTACAGGAGGTGACAAGGGCAGGAATTTCTGTTGCCAGCGCATCTCAGGCCAAAAAGCCTGCAATTATCGCATCAACTGGAGCTGGCAAAGGCTTCTTGGCCACAGCTTCCACCTGCTGTTTTTGGAAGGGCTTAAGTGGAAGTGGGATCCCATCCAGAGACAAAAGTTGGAACCAGGATCAGGTCAGACAGATTACTGACAGAATAGGTGTACATTATCTTGTATTTAATAGGATTTAATGTGAGTTTGTTTCAACCAATCCAGTTTATTTCAGTTCAAGGAACTGGGCCAGGTCTTTCACAGTGTCCCAAATCCAGCCCTGTGGTTAAAATATATACCTGGCTATTATAAGTATAAGAACATCTAACTGGAGTAACAAGATCAGCTAGAAATGTCTCACATTCTAACTCTTGCAGGTAATCCAGATGGGTACTATGGTGGATAGCATTGAAAGCCACAAAGAGGTCTAATAATTAAGGGGCTTCTTAAGGCATTTAATTAGGCACCTTAAACCATTTAATAGTAAACAGTTATCTAAAATCACAAAGGAAAATACCATATTAAACGCTAGCCTCAAAAAGCATTCCAATCATGAGATAATAGTTGAGAGTGACAGTTATGGTGACAGTGAGGAGCGAAATAATTTCTAGTGGAAAGTTTACTTACTGAGACCGCCAATAATGTTGCACTTGCCTTCCAGGAACAGAGCAGTGTCAGGATCCTTCACTGGCCTTATATCATTACATCATTTTGTCTCAGAAGGCTCAAACATGCAGCCACGTCCAATAACCAGGAAAGTTCTGAACAAGTTTCTTCAGAGTCAACATCATCCTGTTTTGTTTGAAATAGGAATTCAGAATCCCCTAATTCGCTCCACACCTAGACCCAGATGGAATTTTCATAAAGCCAAATGGCCAGAATTTGCCAAAAGCCTTGACAGTATCATACAATGGATCCCACCAACAAATCAACATTACCATAGATTCGTGAAGGCTGTGCTTCAGCTAAAAGATACCTCCCTCGAGGATTCAGAAAAGATTATATTCCTGGATGGAACAAGGAAACTGGGAGCTGCCAGACAACCTGCTCGACAAACTCCCAGCATAACTGCCGACCAAGTAGCCTCTTGAGTTTTCTCCCTCTCTAAAGCCCCAAGGGTGAAAGGGCACTCAACTACAATCAAGAAAGTGCTCTCAACCTTTGGACGGTCAACTTCATCACACTCTGAATTCACCCACCCTTTCTCTGTGGACAAAATTGACGCAGCCATCTGCGTCTGAAGTCCAACAATATACCAGGTTTTGATGGCATCCACCCTGAATTTCTAATTCATTCTGGGAGACTAACAAGGGATTGGATTGGCAAATTCTTTTCAAACATACTTTCTAGAGGACACCTCCCACCAGAATTCAAAAAAGCCAAAGTAATATTGCTTCTGAAACCTGGCAAACTACAAGACAGCGTAGAAAGCTATGGGCATTGCCCTTCTGAATTCTTGTTACAAATTTCTGGAGAAACTTATCATAAACAGAATTGGATCCACAATAGATACATTTCTGCCCATGGAACAAGCTGGCTTTCGTCATAATCGCAGTTGTGTTGATCAGGTGCTGAGCCTAACAGGACATATCAAGGCTGGTTTCCAGGGAGGCTTAAAAACCACAGCTGTGTTCATCGATCTTACTGCAGCATATGATACCATGTGGAAGAAGGGTCTGCTTTACAAAGTGAGTCACATCATCCCCTGTAAAATCCTCTATTGCCTAATAAACAACATGCTCAGCGATAGATCCTTTCAGATCATTATGGGGGACAACGTTAGCAAGTTAAGAAGACTCAACAATGGCCTTCCACAAGATTCTGTACTGTACTGTTCAATCGTTATATCTGAGATATGCCAGCTACAAGGGGACATAAATTTGGATATGCAGATGACCTGGCCCTAGCAGCACAAGATAAAAACTTGGAAGTATTGGACTGTCTCCTCTCTGAGGACCTGAACTCCCTGGGAAATTTTTTTGCTGACTGGAGACTCATACCCAGTGTCAGCAAAATGGTGACCACCTATTTCCATCTCAACAACAAACTCGCCAATGCCACCCTGATAGCCTACCTGAATAACAACCTATTCCCTTATGATCCTCACCCCAAATACCTCAGAGTAACTTTGGATTGGACTCTCTCCTATAAGAAACACCTAGTGAACATGTCTGCTAAAATCAATACCAGGAACAACTTACTCCAGAAACTAAGAGAATCAAGATGGAGAGCCTCAGCCTCTACCCTCAGAATATCAGGACTAGGGTTGGTCTACTCCACAGCTGAATACTGCGCCCCTGTTTGGCTTAATAGCTGCCACACTAGCAAGATCGACGCTAGACTAAATGATACAACGAGGATCATAAGAAGTTGCATAAAATATACTCCTACTTGCTGGCTCCCCGTCTTGAGCCACATTGCACCACCAGCTCTACAAAGGCAGG